CGTCTTGCCCCAAGTATGTGGACATTTGTCTGCCTCTGGTGCAGACAAACCTGCTGATTGGGTAAGCATAGTACATGCCATAGAGAGAGTTCTACCTACTCTAAAGCTGACCAGAGCTGGGTACACTGCATTTATGCCTGCTAGAGTGGGAAATAGCCCTTCAGATCATTGTATTAGATTTATCTGGCTGCTAATAACCAGGGTTTAGGGCATTTGAATAAAAATACGTTTTTACATTCCCAAGTGAGTGTACACTAATCTTGAAGAAAAAAATCACACTTTGGAATGCAGATTCAATTACAGATTTTGACTCCTGAAATCCTTAAAAACAACATCTTCCTGCTGATCTAAAAGAGACTGGACTTGAACTAGAAAACAGGGCACAGGTCTTCATTTCAAATGAAATGTCTGGAATTGCAGCTTGTTTTTAAAGTTGGATGCTTATGTTGTGTGATATAAACACTACAATTAATTTTTTACTTAATATTTTCTGCATGCCAGAGAGGATTACTTTTCAAATCAATTATTTTGTTATTTTAATGTCTTATGCACACAAACCCCTCCCCCACCCAAAATAAACTAAGCCTTTGACCACAACCCCATATCACCATCCCAACTCCTTGGTTCCCCATACGCAAGGCAATCACCATGTTGGACACTGTCTTTATCAGCCCCTTACTTTTCATTTTATATAGATCTACTGTATTCATATATATTTCTAAAAAGAGAATATTTTTGTATCAGTTATTTTTACCTTTATAAAAAGAGATCATGCTAATAGCAATCTTTTGGGACTTATTTTCAGTGCAGCTCATTTACTTTTGTTCTTATATAATACTTCATTATATGCCACAGTTACTGACCCACTCTCCCACTGATGGGCATATGAGGTGTTTCCAGCTTTTTGCTATTGTTAAAAGTGCTACTATCCAACTTCTACTTGCTTCCTGTTGTATAGGTGCAAGAATTTCTCCTGGATATAGAGATGAGAGTAGAATTCTTAGACAGCAAGATAGGTAAATTTTCAGGATAATTCCCTGAAGATTCATCCAGGTCGTGTGTATGGTAGTTATTTTCTTTTTATTACTGAGTAGTAAATAGTACATGGTATGGATGTCCCACAGTTTGTTTAACCATTAACATTTGAAGGGCACCTGGACTAAGTTAAGTTTTTGGCTATTATGACTAAAACTGCTATGAATATTTGTGTACAGTTTTTTGTGTGTGTGAATGTAAATTTCTATTTTTCTGGAATCCATGCCCATGAGTGCAATTGTTTGGTGTGTATGGTAATTTTATGTATACTTTTTAAAGAAACTGCCGAACTGTTTTCAGAGTGGTTATACCATTCTATAGTCCCCTGAGCAATGTGTGAGTGATCCAGTTTCTACACTTACTTTCCAGCATTTGTTATCCCTGTTTTATTTTTAGCTGTTTTGTATCGGTGTGTACAGTGAAAACTCATTGTGGTTTTAATTTGCACTTTCCTGATGGTTAACAATGGTGAACATCTTTTCATGTGCTTACTTGCCATCTGTATATCCTCTGGTGAAAGAGCTGTTCAAGTCTTTTACCCATTTTCTAATTGCATTGTTTGGTTTTATTTACTAGTGAGTTTGAGAGTTCTTTATGTATTCTATGTACTAATAACCCTTTGGTGAGTGTGTGGTTTGGAAATATTTTTCCCAATTTGTAGCTTATCTTTTCATTTTCTTCATATGAGTTTTTATAGAGCACAAGTATTTTATTTTGATGAAGTCCAATTTATCAACTTTTCTTTTTATGGGTTTGTACTTTGGTGCTAGCTTTAAGAACTCTTTGTCTAGCTCTACATTCCAAATATTTTCTTCTATTTTTTCCTAAAAATTTCATAGTTTTACTTAATTACATTTAAAAAACGATATATATATATATATATATATATATATATATATATATATATATTTTAGAGAGAGGAAGGAAGAGGGAAAGAGAGATAGAATTAATTACATTTAAGTTGATGATTCACTTTGAATTAATTTTGGTATAAGGTATGAGGTTTTGGTCAAATTGTTTGTTTGTTTGCATGAATATCCAATTGTTCCAGCACCATCTGTTGAAGTATTTTTGCACATTTGTCTAAAATTAGATTTTAAGTCATATAGTTGAGCATATTTGTATGGGTCTCTTTTTGGCTTTTCTATTCTTTTCCATTAATATATGTGCTTATTCCTCTGAGATACCAGACTAGACTGATTACTAAATCTGTATAGTTAGTAGGCTAAATATCTTCTTTGTCTAGGGTTTGTATCTTTCCATGTAAATTTTAGAATAACCCTGGCTATATCTAAAAAAAGCTTTTCTGAGGTTTGGTAGGAATCATATTAAACCTATAGGTAAATTTGGATATAATTACATCTCTACTGTGTTCAGTCTTCCAATCCATGAACATGGTAAACCTCTCCATTTATTTATTTATTTATTTATTTAGTTAGTTAGTTAGTTAGTTAGTTAGTTATGTCTTCTTTGATTTCTTCTATCAAGTGTAATTTTCTGCACACAGATCCTGCAGATGTTTTAACCATATACTTAAATATTTAATTATCTTCTGATTTATAGTCAATTAATTTTATATCTTACTTTGGAACTATATAGAATTTATATCTCCAAGTCAAAATGACTTGACTGAGCTAAAAAGACAGAACATTTTATTGGAAAAATTTTGAAATAGAAAATACTGTTTTCATAGTCTCCTCTTCTACATAAACAGAGAGATTGTTCCCGTTCTAAGACCATATTTTCAATGTACCCAAACAAAAAAGTGAAATAATATTCCCAATAGTTTTGGAAAAGAAAGAAAACTACTCTCAATTTGAGGCAAGTTTCCCCATTAAAAATGAGAGAAATAGATTCTTAATGCTTCATCAGACTTCAGTTTTCTTGATTATTAAAAAAAAAAATAAATTTCTATCCCATGATTGCTTGCAGTATTCTGTTTTAGAATATTTCAGTCTGATACAGTAGGATCATACCCCAAGTTGGTGGTGGCTTTGTATTTCGTTATTAAAGAAGGGAAATTTGCTACCTTAAAATGTAATATATCAACTTTGGATTGAGCTGTACTGTATAGTTTCCATATGAATATCTGAGTATTTCGTTGGCAAATACATTTTTTCCCCATCTGGTAAAAGGATCTAGATATTCCATGCATATTTGTGTCTGGGGGAAAAAAACAAGATCCTTTTAGCAAAGTGTGGCTTGCTAGGGGCAGAGATATATATTAAACTGCCTAGCCCAACCATAGCAATTCAACTGTTTTTCTCCCAGGAAAAACAATTTATTTATGAATACTTTTATTTTGGGTTTTATTGCATAAATTATATTTCAAATATTGTCTTATTGTCATTTAGTGTTAGAAAAAAACCCTGAGGATTTGTTGGGCAGTTTCAAGAAGTTGAGAGCAAGACACAAAGAAACACACACACACACACACACACACACACACTCTCTTCATGATTTCCAGTCCCAATATGAAAATTCAGCAAAGTTAAACAGTTTTTTGGGGAGCACAAATTACAGTGAGAAGGAATGCTACTAAAGGTACTAACAATACCGTGTAATTTTCAAGGGTTCTTAAGCACATTGAGAATATTTTAGCATCTTGGTTCTGTGTGCATGAAAGTGGCAGTTTTCACCTAGTCAAGCGCAGACCTACCCTGCGTATCACAGCCTCCTCCTTTGTTGCAGGGACAGCTGTCTGCCCTTGGCACCTTGCCCATGATCGCTGCAGGCTGGGACTTTCCAGCCCCTGGGCATCCTGTTCTACAGCCTTATTCTGAGACCTACTTGAGCCATTTAAAAAATCAATTACTGAGATGCTTTTAAGGGACAAAATCTTATAGCCACAAGGACACAATACAGTAGCCCCCCCCTTATAGGCTGTCTGGCTTTGTGTGGTTTCAGTTACCCGTGGTCAACTGTGGCCCGAACATATTAAATGGGAAATTCCAGAAATAAACAATTGGTAAGTTTTAAATTGTGCGCCATTCTGAGTAATGTGAAGAAATATCCCACCATCCTGCACCATCTTGATCCACCCCGCTCAGGTCGTGAATCATCCCTTTGTCCAGCGTATCCACACTGTCTCTGCTTCCCACCTGTTGGTCGCTTAGTCACCTAGGTGATCAGATAAACTGGCGAGGTATCGCAGTGCTTGTGTTCAGGTCACCTTTGACTTAATAATGACCCCAAAGTGCAATAGTGATGCCAGCAGTTAGGATATGCCAAAGAGAAGTCAAAACTTTCTCATAGGTTTGCGTGTATAGAAAGAAACATATATGGGTGCATATATGTGGATCGATATTATCGTGGTTTCAGGAATCTACTGGTGGGTCTTGGAATGTATCCCTCCCGGAGAAGGGGGGACTGCTATGGACACAAGAATTTGAATCTGGACAAACTCTTGGGCCCTTTCCAGTTTTCTTCTTCCACAAACCCTTCCTACTTTAGCAAAGGTCTGTGTGCCTTTCCTAGACTGAGTGCATGGCCCTGACTTGTCCTTGAATTCGGGAAGCCCTTATTTCTCTTCTGTCACTCCCTCTAGCTTGCTTATCAGAACAGGAGAGCTGCCTCTGCCCCCTGGCCACCCTCCCCATCTCTGCTTACTCTCTCACCCTGGTGTTGCTGAGACCTTTCCTGGAAGGACTCTGCAGGCTGAAACCAAAGCTGGGTGATTTTGCACAGACATTACTTTCTCAAATATGCAGAAGGCTTGAGTTGCCAGGATGGTGTGAACCTGCCAGTGCTTCACTATTTCCAGAACCCTGGCTCTACGGCCAGCTATTACCATGAGTTTTTCCCACTGAAAATGCATTTAAGGGAAGGGTTGTAAAAATCTGGTTGCCTTAATGGGAACTTTATTGTATTCTTAGTACTAAGTTATTTGAAAGACATTAAAAGAGACTCGCTCTTTTAAAAGTTCCAACGGTAACACGGGTGCTTTTCTGGTTTGTACTTTGCAGAAGTGAAATTTTTCTGTCAAACTCCAGCTATTGCTGATATTGTAATCCTGGTTGATGGCTCGTGGAGTATTGGAAGATTCAACTTCAGGCTAGTTCGGCTTTTCTTGGAAAACCTGGTTACAGCATTCGATGTGGGCTCAGAGAAGACACGAATCGGTACACATTCTGCTATTAACAGCAGTCAGCTGTCAGTGTAATACTTTGGGGAAGCTTCTTAAGAAATTTCAAAAACTCTACCAAGTGGCTTTCAGAATTGCAGGATCAACCATGGTGGTGTTCCCCAAAGTGCGAGTTAGGATCAGTAAATATTTATTCCTACTAATTTTGCTATGATACTGTCATTCAATTAATTATTGAACACGTTTTAATTTTGTGGAAGTCAAAATCTTCTCTGTCTAATAATAATAATAATAATATTTTAAAAGTTAGAGTTGGCTTATGAGTTTATCAGGTAAAAGTTTTCTTTTTAAAGGAAACAGCTCAGTCTAGTGAGACATTAAACTAAAACAAGTGGAAATTGGAAAGAGTTTTATAGTACAAGATAATCTTTGCCACATTAAATCTAGCTGAGATAAAAAGCAACTAAAAAAACTTAAAATCTTTGAGCAACATGTTCACTTTATTACAAAAAGTCCCCTAATTTTGCTTTTAAATGGCCATTAAGGAAACTCCTTCTTTTGAGAATAAAAACATACATATAAAGCTAGACCTTTTATCTACAAACATAATCAGACTTTTAAAAACACACACTAAGTACCCAGTTAGGTGATCACTTCTAAATGGCTAGAAAGCAGATACATTCCCTCAGCCCCCAGATAATTAATTCTCCTGATTAATTCCTTAAATTAATGCCAGGAATCTCTCCCCCCACCTCCCACAGGAATCCTTCTTGAAAGTACATAGCAATGTAGGGAAAAAAATGTTGCAAGGATTAGGTCGTACATCATTGTCGCTTCTTGACTAGTCCACTAGAACTTTGATTAACCCATCGTTTCTGGGTGGGCTTTCTTTTCTTTTCCAGGTCTTGCACAGTATAGTGGTGACCCCAGAATAGAATGGCACTTGAATGCCTTTAGCACAAAAGAGGAGGTGATCGAAGCTGTCCGAAATCTGCCATACAAGGGAGGAAATACGCTAACAGGTATGTTTTTGGTCCACATTTTGAGCAACATATTTTACCTAAGAATAGTTTTATTTCTCCAGTGTTCAGTAGCTGTATTAACCTTTGTGAGTCTTTTTCCTTCCCTCTCTTTTCACCTGTTTTCTCCTCCAGCCACCCTGTCAATGAAATAAAAACAAATTCCTACCTTATATTCAAGGAAGGTATTTTCTTGGCACTTATTCTGCAATCAGTCGTTATCATGAAAATATCTGTGGATCTTTGGCTCACTGATATTTTTGATAAACGGAGAATGTAAGAATATTTAGGTGATAATTATCCTAGCCACAAGGGGTTGTCACAGGTTTTACCCTTACTGCATGCTATTTCCCTTCACAGGCATATAATATAGATGCTCAATTAAAATATATAGATGTTGTCATTGACTTTTAAGGAAACCACAGAAATCCTGACAATTGCTTTGCCAATTTGAGGGAATAATCTAATGGGTATTTTTTAAATACAACAACAACAAAATATTTAACACAAATCTTATAACAATATTACAGCATTTCTTATTTTTTCTTGCTGAAAAGTGTCACACTCAAAAGGCAGAAATTCAGTTACTCTTTGAGGTCTTCCCCACTACCTCTAAAAAAGAGAGATAGAAATTTTTGATTCTATGGGCCATAATTATCAAAACAAGGTGTAGTGATAATGTTTGCAACAGACTCTATTATTTGGGCATTCTTGCTTTATCTTTACTTATAAAGGTTTAGATTTTTCTGTACACAGATCTGTAATGTCTAGCTGGCCATGAATTCAATGTTCTTTGTAAATGTTAACTTCCGAAACGATGCAGTATTCAGTTATTTGTATTGCCTCTCTTCTGGTGGATTTTAGTTTTTCATCCGATCTGTCAGTGAAGAGGTTGTTGTAAAAATGAAGATGAAAGTTTGCATCTAATAAAAATCCCTTTAGTTCAATAAGTTACTCATCTTGTGGTTACATTTGCAGGATTGGAAGGATTTTTATTAGAGGTGGTTGGTTTGTGTTTATTTTTCCTTGTTTTCTGCCAGGTCTTGCTTTGAACTACATTTTTGAAAATAGCTTTAAGCCAGAAGCAGGAGCAAGGACTGGAGTATCCAAAATTGGCATTTTAATCACAGACGGGAAGTCCCAGGATGATATTATTCCACCATCCAGAAACCTTCGTGAATCTGGTGTGGAGCTGTTTGCCATAGGTATGTGTTATGTATGGTCCTGTTTCAAAAATGGGGACAGACACACAACCACTTAAAATAATTTAAGATGCAAAACGCACTTCATGGGAAGCCAGGAGACCTGCACATTTTCTAGTCTTGACTCTCATCACAATGAGTCATGTGATCTGAGCCCTACATCTTTACATTTACAATGGAAGTGATGGCTACTGTCATGTACCTGTAGTGTGAAGGCCTCTAGGTGCAAAGTTTTCTGCATAAAAACTTTGTGAAAAGCATAACATGCAATGGTTAGGTTCATACTTGTTACCTTTTACCAGTCAGGACTTTTCTCTTTAGTATCTGTCTGTAGGCTGTTTCTTTTCTGGTAGTCTATGGAGAAACCAATTTGTCATTTTTAAGTAATTAAGGTCCTGCAGTTACTTAAAGAAAGCACAAAGTTCCAGGTATGCAGTATTATTTCTCTGGAACTCTTTGAAAGGTATTTCTTGTGGAAAAGTGTGTGTGTGTGTGTGCGTGTGTGTGTGTGTAATGCAGAATAACTGCAAAAATTTAATGATGCAGCTGTGCTCTTGATTAAAATGTTTACGTTTTCTTTGGCAGTAGGAAGGCCTTCTATTTAGTAGAGACCGACAAAACAAAAACAAACCCTAAATCAAGATGCCGTTCTTTTGGGCTATTCCTAGATTTGCTATCAAAATGTGGTTTATAGAATGTTTCATTCAAGAAGTATTTGCTTATCTGCTGTGTGCCAGGCATTGCGGTGGGTGCTTGGGCACAGAGATGAAGAGAGCCAAATCCTTACAGGACAAGTCCCTTCCAAGCCATGATCACCATCTCCTCTTCCTGTACTGTTTGCAACAAACTATTTTGATATTTTGTTTGGAGAGAGAGAGAGAAAGAGAGGGAGAAATAGATATAGATTTGGGAGTATCTTCCCTAGAATAGGTTTCTATATATATAAATTCGAACTTGTTGGTTTTAACTAAATGCCACGAAAAACATCGCTGATATTAAGCTCATTGCTTCAGCATGCACTAATGTGATTTTGTTATTGTGGACCCAGATCCAACTGTGCATTTTAGAAGCTATTGTAGAAGTCCTTCGGGCAAGAAACATCAGAGAGATTGATTTAATTTTCATTTTTTATTTTGCAATCTTTTTCTCCAACAAAGGAAATCCCTTCAGAAGACATAAACTAATGGGGGATTCATTCATGTGTTTACTCTCCATTTTGTGGTCGTGTTCATAATGAATGGATGAGCTTTTAAACAAAGCTTTAAGTGAATTCAGATGTGATTTGGACCTTTTTTGTGTTTTTTTTTTGGAAATTACCTGAAAACTAGTAGTATTTATTATCCTGCTGTGACCCCCTAAGGCAAATAGTTGAGAGACAACCAATCCTTTGTTACTCAGTGTGTTGAGGTCGGAAAATGAATTCAATAGCACAGCCTGGCATCTAAGAAGTAATTCATGTTGCCCCAGGTAATCTCTTTTCCTGTCTTCGTAGTACCTGTTTTAACACCCTTAGATCATTGCAGTGTCAGGGGTTTATAAGAAATGCTCCTTGTTTATTGAAGCCTGGGGAAGAGAAATCTACCTTTACACCCATGAAACCCAATCCTATGCCTCCCTTTTTCTGTTTGTCATTTCATTGGTAAATATTTACTCATTTTAAGGTGCAGCCATCTGAGAGGCAGCATCATAGAGTGGTTAAGAGCATATGACTTTGGATCTAGACTGCTGAGCGGAAGCCCAGGTGTACACTTCCTGGCTGTGTTTCTTTGAGCAAGTTAATTAATCTCTCTGTGCATCAGTTTACTCATCTGTATAATGGGAGAAACGATTATGCCAAACTCATAGGGTTGGTTGTGAGGATTAAATGCGTTAATATACGTAAAACACTGAAGTACTTGGGGCATAGTAAGCACACTCTTTAAGTGTTAACATCCACTGCTAAGACAGAGGCTGGAGGAGTTGCGTGAGGGCCCAGGGTTTTCCCTATCACTCTAGTGCCTGCTGTATTCTAAACACCCAGCATTGTGCTTGACCCGTAGCAAGGGAATTCAATAAATATTATGGAAGAACCAGAGCTTCCCTATTTGCAGTGGTTACTAGACAGCCCATTGTGTTTGTGTAAAAATTTTTTTCCCAAGCTGTCTCTTAACACTATGTTATAATAATATTCATGATAATCATTATATATTATTTTTATTCTAGCAGTATCTCTCAATTTAAGTAAACTTTCTTTAGAAATTCAAACCTGAACTTTGGATAGTTTAGAATACTGGCTTAATTACTATTGCTTCTGCAATACTCGTGCAAGACAGAAATGAGTTTCGTTGATACATCCTCAGTATCTTCATGCTGAGGAGCATGAAGATAAACCACTTAATGATTGCGAAGGTGACTTTTAAAAAGCATCAGATGGGAGAGATGCGCCCCTTTAAAGTAGCAGATGCTCTGCTTGCAGTGAGGCCGAGGGGCTCAGGTAGGGCACGCTGCCCATTGCCCTTTCCAATGGGACATGATGTCACAACCGTCCCTGTCGTCCTCAACGCAAGGGGTGAAAAACGCGGACGAGAACGAGCTGCAGGAGATCGCCTCTGAGCCGGACAGCACGCACGTGTACAACGTGGCCGAGTTCGACCTGATGCACACGGTGGTGGAGAGCCTGACCAGGACCGTCTGCCTGCGCGTGGAAGAGCAGGACAGGGAGATCAAAGGTAACGCGGGACAGCCCCGGCCTGCGCACGGGCTCTTAGGGAGATTCTTACCGCCTTTCATCTTCACTTTCTAAACAGAGCCCTTTACTCTCCTGAGAAGCGAATCATCAGTAGAAACGGGTTATACTGGTGGCTCAGAGTGGGTGAGGGAGGAATACTTTAACCACTTGATAATTTCCTCCTTTAGACCATCACGTTTGTTTCTTTTAATTCAACTTCGGATTTTGAGATAATTGCCCATTTACATAGTTGTAAGAAATAGTATATAGAGAGATCATGTATACTTTTCCAGTTTCCCTCACTGGTAACATATTGCAAAACTGCAGTACAATATCCCAGGCCCGGGGTTGGCACTGATACAGTCACAATACAGGACATTTCCATCACCACCAGGATCATTCCTCTTGTCCTTTCATAGCCTTATTCACTTCGATCTCTCCCCCAACCTCTCCCAAACTCCTGACAACCACTAATAGGTTCTCCATCTCTATATAGTTTTCATTTTGAAAATATTACATAAATGGAATCATGTAGTATGTAACCTTTTGGGATTGGCTATCTTTACTCAGAGTAATTCCCTGGAGATGCATTCAAGTTGTTGATGTATATCGATAGCTCTTTCCTTTTCATTGCTGTGTCGTATTCCATGGTATGGATGTACCACAGTTTGTTTAACCATTCCCACATTGAAAGACATCTGAGTTGTTTCCATTCTTTGGCTGTGAACACTCATGTATAGGTTCTTCTGTGAACATACGTTTTAATTTCTCTTGGGATAAAGTCCAGGAGTGCAATTGCTATATCATATTGTAGTTTTATGTGTAGTTTAGTTTTAGTTAAGAAATTGCCAAGCTATTTTCCAGGGTGACCAAAGCATTCAACATTCCCACCAGCAATGTGTAGGGTATCCCCAAGAATGTATACACACACTTTGAATAATTCTGAAGGCACTGCTTATTAAAAATACATTTCATTTTCAAAATTGAGCTATCAGCTGTTAAAGTGTGTATACATTTTTGGGGACACCCTGTATGAGTGATCCAGTTTCTATGCATTGTCACCAACATTTATTATTGCTACTATTTTTTATTTAGCCATTCTGATCAGTGTGTAGTGATAGCTCTTTGTGGTTTTAATTTACACTTCCCAGATGCCCAGTGAAGTTTAACATCTTTTCATGTGCTCATTTCACATCTGTGGTGTGCTCTTTGGTGAAATGTCAGTTCATTTCTTTTACCCATTTTCTAATTGGACTTCTTTTAGTTTTTTTTTTTCTTATGTTTAGTTTTAACAGTTGAGTTTTGAGAATTCTTTACTTATATTCTAGATACTAATCCTTTTTTTGGATATGTGGTTTGTTAATATTTTCTTCTGATCTGTAGCTTGTCTTATCATCTTTTTAACAAGGTCTTTTGTAGGACAATTATTTTTAATTTTGGTGAGGGACTAGGTTGGGCAGCCAAGCAATAGTTTCCTGAACAAAATTCTCTGAGAGTACTTTAGAACCCAGATTTTCCCACAAAAACAATCTCTACATGTGGATGCTGATAAAGCATGTAATATAGTTCCTGGTCACAGTTAGTGTTCAATAACTATGCCCCCGCACCCCACAGTGTAATGGTTACTGAAGTGCCTTGAGTAAGTGCCCCTAGAGGGTAGGAAATCCTAGAATTCAAGGACCCTGAACTCTACATGTCCCAAGTCTTTTGTGGAATCATCTGCTTTAACGTGTATATAACACACAGTGTTTTTATGTTGTTTAGCTCATAGTCGGTATTCAGTAGGTTGGCTGCTTTGTCTTCTCTTTTCACTGTTAGATATTGGCCATTTGTTGACTTGAAATCTTCAGCATCGCTACTGTACCTTCTGATGTTTAAAAACACAGACTCTTGTGTTTCACGAAGCTTGTGTAGCAACCTTGGCTCTGATACTTACTAATTGTGAGGCTTGGGCGAGTTATTTAAGTTCATCGTGCCTTGGTTTTCTCACCTATGAAATGGGAAGACTAATAGTAACAACTGAGAATTAAATAAAATAATACTCTAAAGAGCTTAGAAGAGTGCCTGTAGATGCACACAGGCTCAATTAATGCTATGTTTTTGTTTTTTACTATTCCGTAACAGTTTCTTTAAGCAAGTTCCTTAGAGTTGAGGACTATGTGTTATTTAAGTTTGTGTCCTCAGAACCTCGTGTAGGGATTGGTACTTAATGGACGCTTAAATGTTTTGATGAACAAATGTAGGAATGAATAAGTGAATCAACTTATCTAGAGATGAGAATCTTAGAGGTAGCATAAAATTAATAGTCATTTCTGACTAATAAGAAATAACTTTGGGGAAGAGGTTCATTTTATGTGTTTTTTTAATTTAGCCTTGGCCCTTGCCACCATTGGGCCGCCTACGGAGTTGATCACTTCTGAAGTCACTGCCAGAAGCTTTATGGTTAACTGGACTCATGCCCCAGGAAAGGTGGAAAAATACAGAGTCGTGTATTATCCTACCAGGGGTGGAAAACCAGACGAGGTAACGAGGAGATAATATTTTTAAACCATTATTTTCATTTTCCCAAGTCATCTACAGTGGAGACAGAATGGATACATAAGGAGATTATTCTGTCACAGGCATTTAACATTATTTGACTTAAATACATTTCCACGTGTCCATGTAGTTTACTTCCATCTTTTCTTCTCACCTCCATCAGTAACCCTCAGAACAGGTCATGTATCCATTTCTAGCACAACTTATTTTGACTTCTTCTTTTTTTAAAAATTAATGAGGCCTAAGGCCAAAGAAGTCGGTAGTTGGCTATCTGGCCAGAGATCCCTTTTGCTATTCATGTATTCTTCCTACTTCGGGAGCAGTCTGAACTTTCCGCCTTAAAGATGCCTGTGTGTTCCAAATTATGTGAGCACGTGTTCCTCCGGGGCTTGGGGTTTCCTGGACGGTTGTGGGGAGATTAGTGCAATGGAGAAGCCATAGAAAGCATGTGTGGCTGGCCTTTCTCATGGGCTGGCCATCACAGGAGGATTCGTGTTGCCAAATGATTGGATTCTTCCCAGTTCCTACCTTTGATACAGCAATTCACAGGGAATATGTTAACATGTGATGAAATCTCTGTTTGTTTGTTTTTTTTAAGTGCTAACCTTTTATTGTTCTAACCCCAAACCTCAGCATGTTACACAGTTTTCCTCTGGATTATGGCAGGAGTTATAATTGTTGTGTTAGAGAAGTAGATCACAGAGGTTTAAATCACCTGGACAAAAAAGAAATAAATCAGAATGTTTCCAATGGCTTTATCTTTTTCATGACTAATAAACCTTTTAAATGCTTCCCAAAGCTCCATGGAAAAATACCACATGTTAACTGTTATTAAGTGGGTGTGATTAGGCTAAAAACGGCACCGTTCCCATTAGGTAGGAATTAGTAAGGGAGTCTTGGACACGTTCCATTAAAGGTGTGTCACCTCAGATAGGAATTCAAGAAGAATCGACTGCACAGTGGAAAAAGAAGATGTGGCACAAATAAAACATTTAATGAAAAGTTCTTGCTAGAGATATTTTTGCTTTTTAATTTTAACTCTGCGTGTGGTTTAAACAGGTGGTGGTGGATGGGAGCGTAGCTTCCACGGTGCTGAAAAACTTGATGTCCTTCACTGAATATCAGGTCGCAGTGTTCGCAGTTTATTCTCACACCGCCAGTGAAGGCCTGCGGGGCACCGAGACCACTCGTGCGTACTGGATCCCGCCCCGCTCCTGACCCTGTGTGGCACTGCTAGGTGGCCTTTCCTAAATGGACGTCGGCTCCGGTTGTGCTGATGGACATCCTGAGCCACATTCCTAGGAAGCAGCTGTCCTGCTGAGTGCTCTCCTAGACCATGCTTTTGTTGGGTTGTGCAGGGGCTACATATTGGGAGGGACATTATAAGACTCTGGTGTGTTTAGGAGAAGCAGCCTTAGTGGTGAAGGGTGCAAAATACATTTAATAAGCAAACAGTTAGTGAATGCCTATTAGGAACTAAGCCCTGAGCTTGAATTTGTCAGTAGAAGTAGAGAAGGAGCTCTGTAGCTCTCCTGCCCAGTAGATTACAAGGGAATTAGGTTACATCTACTTTCATTTTTTTTTATATCATTGCAGTTAAAACAAGCGTCTGAATACTAGTAATTCCTTACCTGAGCATGATCATGATAACACACACACACACACACACACACAATCCTGGGAAAAGATAACCTTAAAAAACACAACTACCCACTCAGCTATTGCAGACTTGAATTGAAGTCCTATTACATGCTTGGCACTATGCAGAGTTGGTCTAAAAACTCTACCTTTGATGGAACAATAATAACAACATAAAGAGCACCAGTAACAATGTGGCAGGCTCGATGATGACACGCCAGCCCAATGCACTGTCGGATTTATCCCTGACAATGATTCCTAAGGCGGGTATCAATATTCTCACTTTGCAGAAATATTTTAGCAACCGTCCCTGCCCTTAAGGAAGCTTTTGTCTAAAGTGAGGAAATGCAAACCAAGGATGTGCAAACAAATTAGTACAATGAGCTGCTACAGGCACTCAAGTGTGACGGGGATGAGCTGCTACAGGCACTCAAGTGTGACAGGGATGAGCTGCTACAGGCACTCAAGTGTGACAGGGATGAGCTGCTGCAGGCCCTCCTGTCCAAGTGTGACAGGGAGCTGCACATGTAAACAAAGCCCTGAACTTGACATTGTGGTTGGAAAAGGGGGCAGGGCCAGAGTATGGAGGGCCTAGATTTATCTCTGAAAACAACATTTCGTAGTTTTCATTGGCATTGTTAAAGCCAGAAACTTGTCATTTGTCCTTAATCTCTTTCTCCCTACCTCTCAAAGATGGCCAGTCTTATTTCTTGGTGGTTCCATTTTTCTCAAACTCATTTGAATGGGGCAATGAGAATTGATTCATTTGTGTATTTGTCCATCCAGCCACCTATTCTGTCACTTTAGTAAGTGACCCAACAACTGTTTTTAATGTCTGCTGCATGTCAGACATGGGTGATGGACATAAAACGGTCAGAATTGTCTTCTTGCTCTTGAATGGCTCCCAGAGACAGGTGCCCATCACTGCAGTGGGATATAAGAAACCAGAAAATATGTCATTCCTGCTTTAAACGTTCACTGTTTACCCTCCCAGAGGGCTATGTGAACAGATTTAAGGATGAAAATTATCTGAAAAATAAGCTATGTTTCCTTCAGTAGCATGTGGATACTTTGAAATAAGCAGCCACCCTGGTAATGGCTGAGCATCACAAAACGCAATCTCCTCTTGCAGTTGCCTTGCCCATGGCCTCCGACCTTGAACTGTACGACGTGACTGAGAACAGCCTGCGGGCCAAGTGGAAAGCGGTGGCCGGGGCCTCGGGGTACCTCATCCTCTATGCTCCCCTCACCGAGGGCCTGGCTGGCGACGAAAAAGAGGTAACTGCTGCCCACTAGCGTCCTAGAATCTTTGCCTTTCTTAAAATAGACTCTTTTGGCATGAAAATTTAGTGTATATAATTTAGAAAATTCACATTAAGCAGGAGGGGGAAAAATCACTTGTAATCGCACCACCTCGAGGTAATAAGTTGTTCACATTTAAAGTCTTTTTCGATGCATTTTGAACACAGCAAATGGGAAAGGTTTTGTACCCTTCTTTTTTCATTTTGGTGGTTGTGACCATATGTTTCCATACCATTAAATAATACTTTATATAGTCACTCTAAACATCTTTAAACTTTTCCGTTGTTGTTCAATCTCATATTATTGGACATTTAGATAATTTTCTGTATATATATGCCTCGTGACCATTTTTAACATATAACTTTGTTTGGTCGTCTGATTATTTCCTTAGGATAAAGTGCTAGAAATGGGGTTTCTTTTTTCTAAGGGTATGCCAGTTATTGCACTAAGTATTACCAAATGACTCGAGAGAAATTTTACATAATTTACATTTCTATATGCAGTTCACAAATGACTATTTTCCCTATGTATACTGACTTTGGAAATTTTAAAAAAAATTAATTTGCAAGGTAGGCAAATGTATCTCATTGATGTGGAGTTTTTTGTATTTATTCCAGTTTAAATAATGAATCTTTGACTTTTGAATGATTTATTTTAGTCCTCAGTTTCAATTTATAGGAAGCAATTACTATAATACAGATGCTCAAGGAATAAAGAGGGAGTGTCTGTGACACTTGGGAGTGTCCTGACAGGCAGGTGGACAAGAGAGAGTTCAGAACTTGATTCTTTAACATTGTCTAAAATCTGCCTCTGGGGACAGAAATTTTTAGGGCCAAAAATATGGCGAATCTGAGTGTCAAGAACATAGCATTGGTGACGTGTTCTTTTATTTGCAAAGTTTAGACAGCTTTTGCCCATTTGGATTTAATGTTGATTGTAATTCCCTTTTGGCAGAAGGGAAACTTAAAAATGATGTTGGAAAGATGTTCAGTTTCACAAAGAAAGAGACAAATTAAAAAAGAAGGGGATACTAGTTCATACCCAATAGGTTAGTAAACAATTTTTAAAGTCTGATCTGAAATATTACATATTAGTGAGCATGTGGGGAAAAAGAATCACTCATATAAATTGGTACAGTTGCCTTGGAGAATAATTTGAAATGTTTCATCAAGTTAAAGATAGATATAGTTTTCGAGGTATTTATCATAGGGAAACATCCTGCAAGGATTTTTCAATGGAGAGACTCGGTCAGAACAAAATATTACAAACAAATGACATGTTCATCAATAGAGGAATGGAAAATAGCGGCATATTTATACAAAAGAATATCATAAAGGAATTAAATAATGTCAGCTCTGTCCCTGTGTATCAACATGGATAAATCTTGAACAATAATATTGACAGAGAAAAAAATTGTAAAAATATTATGTTGTTATAGTTCCATTAACAACCTACAGAAATATATGTTCTTTACAGATAGATACATATGTGTGTAAAAAAAAAGGGTCAATAAGATATACCTCAACATGAAGGTAGAGATGGTGAACAGAAAGAATGAGAGAGGACTTTTATTTTATCTGTATATATTAGTTCTTTTAAGAATAAGACCTAAAGTCAGTATGACAAACTGTTGATGTTTATTAAATTTGAGTGGTGGCTACATCAGGGTGTATTATAGTATTTCCTCTACATTTCTATTATCTATGTTGAGATGTCTCAAAATTAAAATTTTTAATTTGATAATAATAACAGGAAGTTTTGTGACTGGACACTTGTCTATGGAGATAATTTTTCTTCCTTCCAAACCAAAAATAAAACCATCCTGTTACGCAGCTGTACTCAGTTGTTACACAACTGGGAATGTTGGTTTGCTTGATTCCAAGGGTCATAAAAATCATCCCAGAATCAAAAAGGAAGTGGCCAACTTGGGCATCGAGGGGGTTGATCTCTTCTGAATCCTGGAAAAGACTTGCAGTCCAGGTGGACAGGCCCCTTTGTTGAACTGGGCGACAAAACTGGCCCAGCTCAGTTGGGTTTGAAGTAAAGTCTGGGCCTCCAGCCAGGTGACTGGTTAGAATTAGAATTAGCCAAGTGCTGAAAGATGCCCACTTGGCACTGCCCCCAGCACGCTGGCCTGGAGCTTACACTCTTTCTAGAGAACACTTCTGATTCAGCTGCCACCACGCTCTTCTGGGGACCAAATATTCAACACTGTTCTTGCTGCAGTTGCCGCTTGTCCAGATGTAAAGAGTTCTCCTAAAACAGCACACACGGGTTTAGTTTTATGTGATTCCATAGCATCTGTTCCTAATATAAAATGATGTGACAATGAACAAGTTATGACTGCAGCCTGTTTGATGAAGGGGTTGTGAGGAAACAGGCTTATTCTGTGGAGTCTCACCTTTATCCAGGTCCACTCTGATCAGCGTGAACAGTACACGTTGGCACACCATCTGACAACGTGTGTTCTTTTCAGATGAAACTTGGAGAGACCCACACCGATATTGAACTGAGTGGGTTGTTGCCCAACACGGAATACACAGTTACAGTGTATGCTATGTTTGGAGAAGAGGCCAGCGATCCCGTTTCAGGACAAGAAACAACATGTGAGCAGTTCCGTCATTCAGATGAAATGCTGTAACGAAAGCCCAGATCAACACTGGGATCCTCAATTGGAAATACTGGTTTAGGCTGCAATCTCTTCAGAGCTAATCGTAACTTGAGAAAATGTGTATTTTGGGATTTAAAGTACAGCACAGGGAAGATAGTCAATAATATCGTAATAACTATGTATGGTGCCAGGTGGGTACTAGACTTGTCAGGAGGGTCACGTCTGAAGTTATATAAATGTCTAACCACTGTGCTATACACCTGAAACTAATATAAAATAACATTGAATTTCAACTGTAATTGAAAAAAGTTTTTTTAAAATAAAACAGAAAATGTTTATTTTATTTAGGGGAAAGGAATATATTTCATTTAGTCTTATTATTATGAGTCATATGGATGCTAGAACTGAAATTGAGCATCCTCTAGCCACTAACGTCTTTGTCTAAATCCAAAGGCTAGATCCGAATATCGGGGAAAGAACATGGACTTTGGAATCAGAACAGCTGAGATGGGAATCCTAGCTCAAGTCACATTTTAACTGGGTGACAATGGGCAAGTAATGCCACATTTTTGAGTCTGTAAAAGGAGGAACAATAGCAGTACAGGTGAAATACAGTAGTATAGGTGAAAGCACTTAACACACATTTACTCAATATTTCTTTTTTTCCCTACTGTTATCAGAATTAACACATTTTTTCATATAACATTTGCAGTCCTCTATCTCAAGTCTATTATAATTCGTATTTTAATGGAGTAATAATTTTGTTGGCAAGTCTACTTTTGGTTCAATGTAGGGAGTTTATAATATTTTTAGAAAAGGTAAATATAAGAAAGTGTAGAGAGGCTCAGGGTCTCGCCCACCCCTCTGAGCCTTGGGAGGAGGTGAATAGCACGGTTCCTACAGCGCTTTTGTCTTTAAGATTCTATTTGGGAAACGTACATAGACGCTTAATGTAAGGAAAGAAGTTTTCTCCACATTCATTCTTTGTTAATCAAGAATGACTTGTTCTTGCTCTTCGAAGAAAGACAGATGTAATTAAAACAGCAAAGAAGCAAACAAAAAGCAACTGGGACAGCTCAACACAGAAGAAAAGAAGTTAATTACTCCAGGCAGCATCTGATGTATCAGTTGACTTAAGTGAACTTTTCCCAACTGCCCATCTATCTTTCCCTCAGAATACTCAATTCTTTATATTAAAGAAAAATGTACATTACTCTTTTCCACCATTAGCAGTTGAGTAATAGTCCTAAAAACTGATATCCTGGGTACTTGTTCCTGAGACTGGCATTTTAAAAATTAGTCTACTTTTTATTTAAATTTTAAATATTTTTATTGAACTTATTGGGGTTACATTGGTTAATAAATTATATAGGTTTCATGTGTACAGTTCTATAATACATCATCTGTATATTGTATTGGGTGTTTACCACCCAAAGACGAGTCTCCTGCCATCACCATTTATGAACTAAGGAAACTAGACATTGCTCCCTCATACTGCCAGATTTAACTGAACTCCATGAAAATTTAGAGCTAAGTGTGTACAACACTTAATAAAATTATATTGCTTTTCTCTCTCCTACAATTTCTCTCTCATTACTTAAGGGTAAGTTTGAGAGTCAGTAAGCCTCATAAGCTCTTTATCGCCAATCCTATATATATAGAATTCATGAAAGAATTGGCCTCTCAGAGTGAGGAAACATTATACTTTGTACTATGGCTGATAGTCGTCATTATTTATCTTCTAAATTTTTGCTCTGTTGGTTCTATCAGTACTATATCACAAGTCCTTAAATCAGTTGATCAGTTGCCTGGGTTAAACCCTAGCTGCTCTTCTACTCCTACTAACTGTGACCTTGGCCAAATTACGTTAGTTATATGATCTATATAACAGGGGTAACTGTAACTCTATCCTTGCAGTCTAACTTAAGGATTTAATGGGATATGTTATATCTCAGACTCATGGAAAACATGCAGTAAATCTTAACTATTGTTTTTACTATAAACCTGTAAAAGCTCACAAAACCCTCAAAGCTATGTTATGAGATTGATAGGAATCTGCAGAAATACCAACACCTCTTTAAATATTTTTTAAAACAACAACAAAGTGTTTATTTTTATCTAGTCTCACAAAGTCACTGAGACTTATTCAGGCAGGAATGCTGCTCATTGATTCAACAAATATTTATTGAGTACTTGCTGTATTAGGGTTAAAACCCAGAACAAAATTAAACCAAATTCCCTAACCCTCTGAGATTATAATATAGTGGGGAAGAGAGACAATAGACCAATAAATGTGCAATAAAAAAAATCGGGGAGCATGGATGGATTATTTTACATAAGGTGATCATGGGAAGCCTCACTGAGAAGGCAACACATATTCAGAAACCCGAATCTTGGCTGACTCCAAGGTTTTGGGCCTGAGCAATGGGAAAGAATGGAGTTTCTATTTGCTCAGATAGAGAAACTGAGAGAGAAGATTGAGAGAGGTGGCAGGAGTCAGTGGCTTAGTTTTGGACATGTTTGGAAATGCCTAATAGACCCAAGTGGAGATGGTAGATAGGCATCACCCTCATTTTACAAATGGGAGATTATGGAATGGACAAGTTGAGTGACTTTGCCAGAATCATATAAGTGAGTGGAATAGCTAAGATTTAATTTTAGGTGTCCTGGTTGATCTATTAGGTTGCTCATTTACACCAGGGTATAATATCATTGACTGGAGAAGAAAGGCACAGAAAACTTACCTAAATCTTATTAATGTCTTGTGTAATTTATTACTATTATTCATTTCATACTGGAAAAACTTTTTACTTGTTAATTTTTTGTTATAAGTTATTACTGGGTGAAAATTTCCATTTGTAGGTAGCTTAGAAGTCAAAGACACTGTTTTTTGTCTTTTTTACACGTATGTTATTTAAAACTTTAATTATTTTCTATTCCATTTCCTGCAAAGTGCCCTTAAGTCCACCAAGGAACCTGAGAATCTCCAATGTTGGCTCTAACAGTGCTCGGCTAGCCTGGGACCCGACTTCTAGAACGGTCACTGGTTATCGAATTGTATATAACAATGCAGATGGGACTGAAATCAATGAGGTAAGCTGTGGAACACGATGTCTATTTTTCCACTGGTTGTGTATCAGTTTTTTATGGCTGCATAACCCACCATTCCAAAACATAGTAGCTTAAAACAATACTAATTACTTTCTTTCCCAGTTTCTGTGGGTCGGGAATTGGGGCTTGAGTGTGTAGTTCTGGTTTGGGGTCACTCATGAGACTGTAGCCAGATAGTGGCTGAAGCTGGTGTCGTCACAGTGGCTTCCTAATTCACATATCTGGCGCCTGGTCTGGGGACACTGGGTCAGCTGGGCGTTGGAGCAGCCCTCTGTGTTTCTAAGTAGACTCTTCCCATGATCCCTCTCGGTGGCAGCTTTAGGGGAGCTCACTCTTTGTGTTGGCTCAGTAGTCCCCAGACACGTGTTCAAAGAGGCAAAGGCAGAGCAACAGTTACATGGAAGCTGTGTCACCTTGAGTTGCCTCGCATCAGAAGTCACAGAATATCACCTCCGCCACAGTCCTTTGGCCGGAGATGTGGCAGTTCCCTGATGGATTCAAGACGGGGAGGACACCAGGTCCCATCTAGGGTGGGAGGCATGTGGGATGGGAGAGATAAATTGATGTGGCCATCTTTGGAGAATACCGTCTTCCCCATTGGACTAGGGTGGGGAAGTATGTATCTTCAGAGAAATAGCAAACTAGAAACGATGTCAGTGTTGCCCAGTTTATGCCTCTGCTTTTGAGTAAGTGACAACTGAGAGACCCTGGTTAGATGAACTTAAATTGAGCCCTGAATAATGCACATTTTGTGCAGGAAGGCACTTTCACATACAAGACCTCACTAAAACCCATGAAGATACAGTATCTTGTACTCAGTGATTAATACTCCTTAGAAATTCTTTTCCTGGCAATAGGTTTTAGCAGAATAGTTAGCGAAGTTATTTTTATTATTTTCCTTATCTTGGTCCAAGAAGCTAAGACAAAGAGGGAAACATGTTGGATTACATCATTTCTGCTTTCTGACCAAATAAAGCAAGTATTTTCATATGCAGAGACAAACTTTTTCCTGTAATTAAATCCAATTAGTATTTTTCAGCATGCACCCTCATACAGGACATTGGGTAGTGAACAGGCAATAACTACACATTTGCTAACAATAAGGAAATGCAGTTCAACATCTGTCATTCAGTCTTTATAAAGCCCCAGCAAATAATTCCAACAAAGCTGGGATCATTTGGATTAGCTGCTTTGCTTTTGAAGACTTTCCACTGAAATAGTAAAAGGGTTGAAATAGAAAACACTGAGCTATCAGTGTCTCTTTGTTATCAGTGATAAGCTACACTCTCAAGGTTTACAAATTCTACTGTGTAGGAAGATCAGGCAGATAATATAAATGACCGAAACCTGCCTGCCATTAAAGGTGCAGAAACAGTCACGCCTGCAAAGAAATATACTTTCTCCTGTTTTTCTTGAAACATGAGGCTGACTTGGGGGCTATATTTCATATATTTTATATTCCCATTTTTGGGACATGGATGTAGAAAAAACTCTCCATTGAAAGGAAGAAAGTAATTCAAGACTTATGATAAGTGACCATGGATAGTGGGGCACAGTGACAGGGATGCTAGGTTGTGGTGGGGACTGATGTGCTTGGGAGTGCATACGTGTCCATCCAGGACTCAGCCAGGGGCAGCTCCTGCAGGTTGCTACTGCGTAGAAATTCAGGCAGGGGCTGCCTGATCTTGTGACCCTTGATCTTGTGTCCAGGGATTTCTATTTTTAGGTGAAGCTTACCAACTTAAAAATGTTGACTCATTGAACCACCAAAATAACACAACAGCCATATTCACCAGTAAATACTTGTTCACTGTAGAGCATCCTTCTTTGGTAATAATTTTTCATAAAACAAAAATAAAATGTGATGTAGATGTATATGTGAGTTATATGTGTAAATATAATTAAATCATAAAATGTTTTATTGAGGTATAATCTACATACAACATATTATTAGTTTCAGGTGTACAATGTAATTTTGATATTTGTATAATTGCAAAATGATCACCACAATAAATCCAGTTAACATTCATTTAAAAATTATAGTTGTAGCCTCTTATGGTATTTTACGTTATTTGCCTTTATAAAGAATGGCCCCAGACTAATACATTTGTTCAGAAATACATTTGTTTTTTTTGTAGTGTTTTTCAATCTTGAAGATGCTTTGGCACTTGGCTATTTCTAATTTTTATTGCACTTGGAAATTAGAAAAATATGTTTGGTTAAACTGGATTTTAAATATAAGTAAATGGACTTGGAGTGAAAACTTGAGGAAATTTTATTTGAGTAAATGCATAAACAATGTGTAGATTTTGTAATATTTTCATTTTGACTGGTATGTGTGTATGTGTATGTGTGCATGTGTGTTCTTATTTTTTAATTTTTTACCATGCAGTTGAGACTAGAGGTTGCTCAATAGGTGTCTCTTGTTTAAATGAAATATTATTTTATCTAATTTTAGGATACATGAGTTCATTGTGAATCTTCCTATCATATTTTGCTTTAATGTCTATTAAGCTTTTATTTACAATTTTACAATTGGGTTTTTAAGAAATTTCCAAAACATTCTGGAATGAACTTTAAAATGTCCCAACTAAAATATTAATATGTAGCATGATTGTAAAAGCTTTCCTTTTGACTTAATTTATATTCCCCTCCTGGTCCTCCCTCTGTCTTTTCTGCATTACCCTTCTCCTCAACTTTTTGTCAACTAAAGAAGAAAAATAAAACAGAGCACTTAAATGTTGATGATGATGATGATGATGATGATAACAGCTAACACATGTTGGGCGCTTACCCTGAGCCAGCCACTGTCCCGAGAGCTCTACCAAGAGCACCTAGTTCAGTCCTTATAGGAAAATGCTGCTAACACATGCCATGTCAAACCGAGGACAGAAGCCATCTCAGATAGCATGTGCTGTGAAAGGACTGGGGGAAATGTGCAAACAGGATGGAGACCTGAAGTGCTGCCATTTGAGTTTTATAAATGAAGGGTCACAGTTTTTAGACTCTCAGAAGCAAGTCCAGTTTCCGACAGCAGTGACTCAACACGAGAGTCCAGAGCGGAGCTCAAGTCCCTGGTTCCTCATCAAGGGCTGTGTCTTCATCCGGCCCAGAGTTAGGCTGACGTTAAGCTTTTAGCTAGACTGTTTGAAAATTTATTCTCAAAAATACTTGCATAAAAATGAGATTCTGGTCATTTGTTACCATTTTTCCAAATCAGCCTACATCTTAAAAGTGTTACCAATAAAACCAGTTTCAGAACTTAGTCTAAAACACAACTATGACAATTAATAAATATAAATGATACCTAAAAGTTTTTATTTGATGAAATAAAATAATTAATGCATAAAGTATGGCCTGTTCAGTATCTAATTTATTAAATAAGTAAATAAACATATCTGTTGAAAAGATATATATTTATATATGTACTTTTAAGTATGTATATGTACATACAGACATGCACACAGAAAACTGAGTGCATATTTGAGACTTAGGAGTTTAGAGGTCATGGCCTAATTATATATCAGTTAATAGTCTCATGGCTCCAGGAAAGTTAGTTAAGCTCTTTGGGCCTCAGATTCCTTGTTAGTAAAATAGTTACTATAAATAACAAGGGTTTGGTGGCGGGAGGAGAAGGAGCTAAGTAAGACAATGAATGCAAAGTCCCTGAGGAGTTGTTAAGGGCTCAGTAAATCTTAGCTATTACAATTTAAAACAACAGAAAGCAATATCCAAGTGCAGTTTACAAGAACATGTCTAGAACTCATGCTTTAAATATGGATTTGTCAAACAAACAAGCAAAATAAATAAATATGGGTTTGTCTTTTCTATGAGTTTAAATAATGAATCCCTATTGTAAATAGTGTTTATGAGCATAAGGTTTAGAGTCGGAAGCCCTTGTATCTAAGACCTGTGTACTAGCTGCTTTTCCCTTGGGCAAGTTCCTTAACTTTCTGGAGTCTCATTTTGCCATCTTCAAATTACGGGTAATCATTAGCTACTTTACAAGGTTGCCTAAGGATTAAGTGGACAGATACACGCAAAGTTTGCAGACAGTATCCAGACCAGAGTAAACAGTAAACGCTAAGCATGACCTATAATATTATCAAGCTCAGATTCAGAAAAAGTAATTACATCTTTTTTTTCAGTTAACTATTGCTATGTAACTAATACCCTGGCTTAAATAACAACCCATGATTATGCAACTTGGGTAGGGTTCAGCAGGGACAGCTTGCCTCTGCTCCACGTAGTGTCAGCTGGGGTGACTCCTGTACTCATCTGGGACCTTGACTGGGCCAGAACTTCCGAGATGACTTCACTTCCATGTCTGACATCTCAGCGGGGATGGCTGAAAAGGCTTGTCACTCCCCTCTCTAACAGATTGGTTGGGTTTCAGAAGGATGAAAATGGAAGCTCCTCTGGGGTTGGCACTCTGTTATTGAACTATAATTGATTTTTTAGAGATGCATGTGGTTTCTGGATTGGCCCTTAGGTTAGATGAGCCCTTTATTATCTCTTTTGAAAAGGCTCTTTTTTGCCTCCATCTTAATTTTCATTTACTTAATGCTATTCACTCAAAAAAAATACAGTTCAACATACAGTAGTGAAAAAGCTGAACAGCATATTGCCCTCAAGGAGCTTACACTCTATGCAGGAGGTAAACAATAAACGTGTATGTAAGGAAATCCAATAATTTCAGGCTGTGATTGGTGCTAGGAAGGAAACAAACAAGGGCGTTGTTAGAGAATAACCCTCCTGAGAGAGGTGCAAAGAGAAACCCCCTCTGAGGAGGTGAAATTTAAGCTCAGTCTTGACAGATGAGGAAGGCCTAATTTTGAAAGACCTGGGGAAATAGGGTCCCAGACAAAATGAATTGCGTGTGCAAAGGCCCTGAGGTGAGAAAAACTGGGACCTGATAGAAAGTCAGTGTGACCGGAGCCCAGAGGGCAATGGAGAGTGTGGTAGAAAAAATCAGCAGCACTCCAGATTATGCAAGGCCAAGAGGTCCTCGCAGGGTGCCTGGTTTGATTTGGAAGGCAATAGGTAGCCGATGAAGGTTTTACATGGGAATGTGACATGTTTTATATTTTGGTAAAAATCACGTTGACTGCCATGAACAAATACAGTGAGTTATGTCACCTTCCCCTTAACCTCAGGTAACATCAAGAGTAGTTATTGATAGTATTGTAAACACCAGATCTTAGTGATGTTTCTCCAGAATGTCTCTTGAAAACATTTTAAGTGAGATACTTCTTGGCAGAGTCTGCTCTCAGGGAAACAGGTTCATTTCTTCAGTTCCCCAGAGTATCAGTAGAGCAAGGGTGCCTTACTCTGAGTACCTACCTTAAAGGGGTTTGGTGAGTATCGGCTGAGTCAATGCATGTCAAGCGCTCAGGTGGGAGGCTCCATTTCCTTGCTCTATGATATGTCCCCTGCAGCCCAAGACCCAGCCTCTCAAAGATAAAGCTGTGTCTGTTCTTTGTCTGAGTCTGAGAATGACTTTGCTCAGGTCTCTGTCTTCTGGATCCTGCCCTCATCGCCTCCTACTGTATGTTTTTTTCTTCAAGCTCTGTTCTTCCCTTTTCCAGTTCTCTTTCTTTACACCCTTGGTCCTTACCCTCAGGGCTTCATCCCTTGTGTGCCCTAAAGCTATGGATACATATGTTTCCTATACCTCTGTGGAAGATAAAGGAAAATTTCAAGTATTTACTATTATTTTTAACATGACTATTCCTTGATTCTGCCCTGCATGGTGACTAATCTACGCATCTCTTATGGGAGTTACTATGCATTACTTAGTCGTGGAGTCAGCAGAGTCCAGGCAATGCAGCCCAAAACTGGCTGCTCCTAGCAGGCCAGTCTGAGAACATTCTATTTATATTAGCATAGTAAACTGTGTGCGCTTTACTTTCTATATTGTTAATGAATGGAAATAATATTGGTTGCAAAGATGCCCTGCAAATTCACTGATAGGTAATCTACTTAAGGGTGTAAGCTTAGAAATGTGTATATATAAATGGACTGGTTTTATAATTCAGTAATATTTTTGCAGTATTTATAGCTCCACTGGCAGCCACGTGAACTAAAGACAATAATAAAATGATTTCCGTTTCCAGCAGTTGCGAGTGTCTGATATAGCTATTATGCCTTCTCTCCTTTGCAGGTCGAAGTCGATCCTATTACTACCTTCCCTCTGAAGGGCCTGACTCCCCTCACGGAGTACACTATTGCCATCTCCTCCATGTACGATGAAGGGCAGTCAGAGCCTCTGACTGGAGTTTTTACCACGGGTAAGTGAGCCTTGTTATGGTTTGAAAAGTTCCCGAGAGTGCCCGGCTGGGCATGGCTCAGCGGCTGAGCATCGACCTAGGATCCAGGAGATTGTGGTTCGATTCCCTGTCAGGGCACATGCCCCGGTTGGGGGCTCGATCCGCAGCAGGGGGCATGCAGGAGGCAGCTGATCAATGACTCTTGCTCATCATTGATGTTTCTCTCTCTCTCTCTCTCCCTCTCCCTTCCTCTCTCTGAAATCAATAAAGATATATTAAAAAAAAAAGTTTCCAAGAGTAACTCTGTAGAAACCACAAAATGGAGCAGCTTCTTCAATTGTGATTTGAAAGAGATTGCATTTTCATTTTTGTTTATTTTCTGTTGTTATTAACAAACCAACAGGTGACTAGAATGCATACTGGCCTATCATTTTCTATTAGAGCAAGGGAAAGAGAGGAAAGACCATCGAAATCTGAAAGGTCTCCGCTAAATGAGAGTGAACATTGCTTTCTTCCTAATCTCACATTGTTTCTTTGGTTCTATCGATGCAAACTTTTCACAACTTTCTTGCATTCCTATGTGTGTATATTATGTTGAACTTCCAAAATGCTGAAATCCACAATTTTACAAAATGACAGTTTTATTCTATTTAACCTAATACATCAATTTATAGCCAATAATTGAAATGCAGCCTAAAATATTAATACAACAATATGGGATATTTTAAGTACTAAAATAAAAAAATAAGGCATGAATGGATTATTTTTCTTTCCTACACATACTCTGTAGTCAGTAAATGTGCAACCTTTTTGGCTCCTTGTGGCCACAATCCTCTTGTTTGCTTTCTGAACCTATTCAGATTGCACTGGAAACAAATTCGAGGAGGTGAGAAGGTAATTCAGAGAGAGATGAGAATTAAGCTGGACTGAGAAATAATATTCACCAAAAAATGTTCAGCCATTTCACAAAACCTCCCAAAGGCAAAACCCAGTTGGAATCCCCATGGTGTCCTGTCAAAGAGCTTTAAAAATCTCTGATTTCAAATAATAAAAATCAGTGCTCGACAGACAGTTCATTTGGGGTGTAGTTGAATGTTGTATCCTCTGTTGTACATCTCAGACACGTGTAAGCAGTGAAATAGTGGAAGGTCTGATAAGTTATATTTCACCTTTTTTTTTTAAGCCTCACACGAGGATATATTTTCCATTGCTTTCCAGAGAGAGTGGAAGGGAGAGAGGGAGAGAGACGTGAGAGAGACACATCGATTGGTTGCCTCCCGCTCAAGCCCCGATTGAGCCTGCGACCAAGGTACGTGCCCTTGACCAGAATCGAACCCGAGACCCTTCAGTCTTCTGGCCAACTCTCTAACCACCGAGCTAAATTGTCTAGGGCTATATTTCACTTCTGATGGCAGCCGTATGTACAAGATGGAAAGGGTGAAGGTTCTTCTCCAGGGCTTACCTTGCTCCTAGAGAGTACGTTAGTGAGTAAGGCCCCGGGGAATATAGTCAGTGATGCTGTGATGACTGCGTGGTGCCGTGGATGCTGGAGGTGTCAGGAGGACGCTGTAAAGCATATGATTGTCTAACTGCTGTGCTGCACACCTGCAGCTGATACAAAATACTGTTGAAGGAAGACTGTAATAGAAAAATTTTTTAAAAAGACAGTGCATAAAAGCTAAAAGGGACATGTCTCAGACCTCTAGGGCACCATTCTGTTAATTTCCTCAAGTACTGGGAAAATATCATCTTTGTAAAATAATGAATGTGACACTCTTATTTTTTATAGTTAGTGAAAAGAGCCAGCTAGAGAACCTAAGAGTTCTGCAAATTACTGGGAAACTTGTCAAATCTGCTGTGTCCAAGGTCTTCCTGTTTTATGCTGGGGGTAGATGCTGGACGTGGCAGGGCAGGAAGGCCACCGTGGGCGGGTGGATGGGTGGGTGCTGCTCCCCGGCTTCCCTTCCTGGAGCAGGGGGTTCGCAGGGGGAGCCGTCTCTTCCTGCGGCCCCCGGGAGTGATGGCTTTCTCACCTTCTCAGTTTCCTCACGAGATCTCTTTCCTTGGCTCACAGAGGAAGTTCCAGCCCAGCAATACTTGGAAATTGATGAGGTGACGACAGAGAGCTTCAGGGTGACCTGGCATCCCCTCTCGGCAGATGAAGGGCAGCACAAGCTGATGTGGATCCCAGTCTACGGCGGGAAGACTGAAGAGGTGAGTCGCGTGAAACAGCCTGAAAATTAATCCGGAGCATTTTGTCTGGAAGTGAGCACCCAGCATGACATCTGAGTTGATCTTCCCTTGAAAACAGATTGAGAATCCCAGGAGTAATTAATGTTTTGCACAGCATGGAGTTTTATAATTGTCAAATCATGTGATTTGAAATGCGTTTTTGCTAGTGTTTCAGTTACGTATTTTATATCTTTTCAAATTCTTTCCCTTTCCTAAGTGACATTTAAATAAAACTTCAAAATTCCACCCTTGAGATATCCATAGTTTATTTGCTGAGGAAAGTGAAAGGAAGAAAGTCTCTGGTTTGACCTTAAAATTGAATCCCATGGCCCTAGCGTTCTTTAGGCTTAGTTGTTTCTTGCTTACCCTTGGGGCAACATTTTTCCATTTTATTATTTTTTTCTTAACTTTCTCCTCTGTTATTCAAGTAAACGCAGTCACTAAACACTAAATGCTTTTCAGGTTGTCCTAAAAGAAGACCAAGACTCACATGTTATTAAAGGCCTGGAGCCTGGCACTGAATACGAAGTTTCCCTGTTGGCTGTACTGGATGATGGAAGCGAGAGTGAAGTGGTGACTGCTGTCGGGACCACACGTAAGTCTTGGTCTGGCCAAGATGGACATCACCAACTCCCACCATCTGACACCCTCTTCACCCCACCAGGTTCCCTGTCCATCAGCCTTATCCTGGGCTACAGAGGCTTCCATTTCTCTTTGTCCCCAGAATGCTTCATGTATCTTCACCTGTAATGAAACCAATATGTGCAGCACCTTTGCATCTTAGGCTGTTACCACTGTAAAGGCTGGGACTGTATCTATCTTGTTCACCATAGTATCTCCAGCGCTTAGCGCAGTACTTGGCATATTTTAACTGTGCAATAAATACTTGCTGCATGGATGGATGGATGGATGGATGAAATAATTTATAAATGAATAAATGAGCAAACAAACCTAAGGAAAACGTGTCCATCAAGAGTTTATGGAATTTCCCAAGTTGATGTTGGTTCCAAGAATCATGTACAAAACTCACTCGCTGATTCATTCATCCCTTCATTTTTGAAATATGAAGTATTAAGCACATATTAAATTTTCTTTGATTGGGTTCCCTGGAATCAGATTCTGAAACAGAAATTGCATCCAGAAGGTTTATTTAAGAGAGTAATTGGGAGATACATTTGTAAGGAAGTAAGGCTGGCCGGACAGGGCATAAAAAGGAGCTAAAACTGAGTCTTCAGCTAATTCTGTTAGGAGATCTAGACCTAGGATGACTCTTCTGAGTTATCTCAAATTGAGTCAAAGGGGCTGGGCCTTTGTATCCCTGCATCCCCTGTCATTGGAGATAGGCCATCCCCTGACAGAGTATATGATCTCAGGCAAGGCAGTTCCCAGAGCGCAAAGCCACCACAGCCAGTATTTCAGAAACTGGTGGATGAGTACGTTGACCCCGAAAAGGGAATCTTGGTGGAGCACCACACAGCTGCTCCATCTACTAGTTACCCAGAGGGGATACAAGAAATAGAAGGTGAGCTTCTATTGTCCACCTTGGTGGCCTTGTTTGGCAGCCCTTTCACAACTTGATCTACAGCACTGTTTAAGTTCCTTGAATTACCATGGTTATGCCTCATTTCAAAGTAACTGGGAGGTTTCACAGTTCTATAGGTATAAGTCAAATATTTATAGGAAGGTTGGTATCTGTGATTAGGAACTTTAACTTCTTTGGGCTTCAGTTTTCTTATCTGTGGAATAGATAACAATGTCTGCCTTACTTACAACTCATTTCTTCATTCTTGCAACCACAGCCAAGATTGTTGTGCGAAGCAGGTGAAATAATATAGGTGAAATTTTCTTTGAAAACTATAAAATGCTATGCACAAATATATAGAGTTATTACTACTACAGAATTTTAAAGAGATACATATTTTTTTAGTTGACAGTGTTTGGACTGAACCAGCTACAACTGTAGAACCTACCAAGCCTGTGACATCAGGTAAGGACAAATCAAAGTATATTTACCTATAAGAAAAGTTTGATTTAAACCAAAGTTATGTTATCCCAGTTTTATTTACTTTGTATTATTAATTAGGAACAGGGCATGCCAGCTCAAATTTCACGCCTCTCAGGACCTCTCAACCTCTTCTTACTCCTAAATGCCAATAGGTCCTCTAGTCTACCCCTCTCACTGATACATCTCTCTACCTTTTCCATCTTTGGTTTGCATTTCCGTGTAATCTTTCAGGGGATGTTAGCAGAGCAAGCCCTGGAGTCCTTGTCCTCCTCTTGATCTCAGTGACTTCTCCTATTGCTCTCTGTTCACAATTATTCACGTCATGGTTTCCTTGCATTTTGTGGGTAACTAAGATCTGGCTGGTCTGTTGGTCTTCCTATATCAGATGTCTCCGATCTCATTTTTTTTTTTTTCCAAATTAAAAAAATATATATATCTTTATTGATTTCAGAGACAGGAAGGGAGAGGGGGAGAGAGAGAGAGAGAGAGAAACATCAATGATGAGGGAGTCGTCATTGATCGGCTGCCTCCTGCATGCCCCCGACAAGGGATCGAGCCCACAACCCGGGCATGTGCCCTGACAGGGAATTGAACCTTGATCTCCTGGGTCCTAGGTCGATGCCCAACTGCTGAGCCATGCCCAGCCGAGCGCTTTAATCTCATCTTAAGCTCTCCCTCCATTATAATACACCTCTCAACCAGCTGTCAGAGTCAACTAGGTAAAACACAGTGTTAAGGATATCATTTATTTCCCTACCTAAAGCCCTTCTGTGGGTGTCTGGATTTTCCATCATTGATTGACTGATTTATTGATTGATTCATTCATTCACTGATCCATTCTTCAGTTAATCTTTGTTGATTCGCTCTTTGTTCCCCCAAATCTCTTTATCATAACGTCCAAGATTCAGACTGTGTTCTGCTTCTCTTCCTGGTTTCCCCTTGCCATCTAGATCTAGTCCTGGTACCTTCCCCAGTATTCCTGTAAATGTCACTCTCCTGCGTCCTCTGTGACACTTTCATTATTTTTGTCAAGTGTTAATCACTGTCTATCTGAAAGGCCTAACACAGTCTGACACACCAGAAAAAGCTTGGGGAATGTTGGCCGGATAACTGAGGAAATGAATGAAGAAAAGAAAGACTTAGTAGGGATGGACAGAATAAAAGGAAGTCAGCACACAAAGGAGAAGGGAAAACGGGACAAATTAGGGAGCCGACCCCTTGGGAGACCAGGAGGAATATGTCAGAGGATACAGGTGAAGGCGTTTGGACAGGTAGCAGGGAAGGGATATTCTCCGTATGGGCTGAATGGGTAGAGGCAGCCATGGCGAGAGATTTGTGCTTAAGGGACAAGTGTCAAAGCAGAAACGGGGAGCAGGCGACTGAGGTGCGTGTTGGACGCTGGATGGATCTCACACCGAGGCTGACCTCACCTGGTCCACCACGTCTGCTTCTCCAACAGAGCACGAGAGTGAGGTTTTCATGAGCACGCTCCCCAGTGGGCTCCCCTTTGGGTTTCCTAGTCCAGGGGCTTCTCCCCAGTTCCTCTTACTAGTGTATATGCAGAACTGGTAGTTTTGAGGTGTCCATGGTCTCACCTTGTCAGCATCTCTTAAAACCATTTTTATTTGCTGCCAGTAGGTACCATGACTCCCCATTAACCACTAAAGCTAAGTTGTTCTTCACGTTGGGTCTATGTTTGAGAAATATACGAAATGATACCTGTTGCCATGTCCGCAAACGGTCTCTGTAGCTTATTTTGGGACATGATGGGTTAAGAATTTGTTAATCCTTGGTTGTGTTTATTCCAGTTTTCCGGACAGGAATCAGAAACCTGGTTGTAGATGATGAGACCACTTCTAGCCTGCGGGTAAAATGGGACATTTCAGACAGCAGTGTGCAGCAGTTCAGGGTCACCTACCTGACTGCTCAAGGGGACCCTGCGGAAGAAGTGGTAGGAACGGTCTGTATAAATACAGCTCATAGAAACTCTGAGGTTTCCTGACTAACAGAGCTAACAAGGCTATCTCCAGAGACTGATGAAAGCTCTTTCTGCCACTTTCTTGTGACTCTACCGTCTCCAGAACTAATGTTTTCATTTAATCCAAACTTAAGTACTGGCTTCCTGATGACCTTTCTATCTCCAAACCTTGCTCCACATATGACCTGCTTCAAATTGGTAAAGGCTCTGAACCTTGTTTCTCACGTTGCTTCTGCTGCCTTGACAACTTCTTAGAGCACCAAAGCAAAGTTGGGTCACAAATAGTCCATCAGACATTTGTCTCAATCTCTCTCTATATATGCATTTAACATATAAACTTTATATATATATTCTTATCTTGGGAATCTGATTACTTTTTAAGCAAAACATACATGAAAGGTCTTCTTTATGTAGTTGAAGTGTTCGTAATAAAATGCCACCCATTAACAAATAGTTATATTTTTCATTAACATCAACTATTTTTGAACAGATCTATAGTCATTTTTAATTTATTCTTAATCAAGAGTGTCTCCCTTAGAGGATTTAGATTTTTATGTGTTGCATTTTCTTTAAGTTGTGTCATCTATGTTTGTTTTTCTATATCGGAAACCTGGACACATTCTTTATCATGGCCTTCCCATGTTTTCTTAATTTATACTGCGTCATTCCTTTTAATCTAGAACCTGAAAATTGTTTCCTAGGTATGCTTCTTATCAAACCAGATAACTCCAGTTTGCATCCAGAAGATAGTTTTCCTTTTTTTTCTGGCCTGGAACATGCTTTCTTTAACCTCATGACTTGCATTTCTTGTCAGTGCATTGCATTCGGGCCATTCTAGGGAAGAAATCTCCAAGTTCATTATTGCTCAAGAATAGCATCATTATCCTTTCTCCCTCCTCTTTACTTATAGAGCCTTTCATAGAAAACTATTTTTATTCATGTGCTTATTTGAGCCTAAAATACTGTCAGGAATGTACTTTATTTCAGGCTGGTAGAAGAATCATCACAGAACCCAGTGACAACCCTAGAATAGCCACATCTACTGTGAACATCCAGAAGGTCCGGGAAGTTGATCTGGGAGTACTTTTGGAAAGTTAATGAACGCTTAAACAAAACAGGTTGAATTATAAATTAACTCAGGCCATAGATTTCAAATGATCCATGATTGACAATTACAAAAAAAAAGAAAACTGTGCTTAGCAAGGGTAACTAAAGATATAATTTGGATGTTTTACTTCCCTCTGTTATTGTCCTCATATTTAATTTAGTTCCTAAAAATGAGACCCATAAAAACTTCCCCCGAATGGGAGTTTTGTTTTTTGGTTTTTGTTTCTACTCTTTCCAAGAAACACATTAAGCTTCTTGCTAAATTATTCTTACTAATTTGGAAAGAGTAACAATTTAATCTCATGCATGAACTTGTAAGCTATGCAAGGTAAAATAATAACATTTTCTTTGGGTTGTCCCTAGATAATTTTCCCTTTGGTAGTTTCTTTCATTTTACACTGTTTATTTCGAAATACTTGGACAACTTAAATGAAGGGGGAAAAGATCAAAAGTCTTCAAGCACATGTGCCCCAATTAAACAAACCCTTAGTAAATATGAAAAATATCAGTAAATTTGGTGGTGATTACTGTGCAGAAGTGTTTTCACTATGTAGAACAAAGTACTATACTCTAGAATTCTCTGAATATCAAACACCTTTAGTGAATTCTAATTAAATTGTGCACACTTACTTTATAGGCATATTGTTAGGACCTGAGGATTAATTGGGAGTTGATGTCTCAGTGTTTTATGAAGTGTTACTGCTATATAAATGTAACGCATTGTTATTGGAGACAGAAAATGGGTGCATCTAGATTTAGATTATGAACCAGGGCAGGACAGACTGTTGCAGAGCTATGTCAAAATCCAAGGGCATTGAACTCCCATACACCAAAGAAATATCCTAAAATAATGATACATGACGGAATGACAGATGGCTGAAATATATTACAAATGATAAAGGAAATGTGTGTGGATTGAGAAATGCCTCTTACCATCTCTCTAAATTTTCCCTAACTGTAAAAGCTGATTACATTTACTTGAGGAAATGACAAGATAGAGTATTGAAGTTGGAGAACAGTGTATGTATAGAAGATTATAAACCAAAGTCAAGCTTTAATATATCTAGGGTGTCCCAAAAATGTATACACACTTTGAGTAATTATTAATTCCAATGGGTTAAATTTGAAAAGAAAGAAACATCAATGGAGCTATCAGCTGTTAAGTGTGTATACATTTTTGGGGGACACCCTGTATATATTAAAAAAGGGAATGGATTTGACTTTGCCAGTTGAAGTGATGTATTTATGTATTTTCTAAGCATAATAAAATCTACTCAATATTTCCAATAAAAAGCTTTTGAACTCTTAGAAAGTAAAGCTACCTCTCAGATGTTTCATAAGGATTGACTTTCACCTCTGCTCTGAAATCCAGAGGAGTGGCAATGACATTTTCCTGGATTTTGTTGTCAGGGTAGGGAGGTTTCACACTTATTTATTTGTGAAAGGCTAATCAGGATTCCAGACTTTCCTAGAGCCCAGGTTTCAAAATTCATAACTGAATTCTGACTTGCAAGAAACTTTCTAGAGCAGGGATGCTCAGAGTGTGGCTCAATCTCCTACAAGATAAACTGAGATTAAGATGAAGCTTTAGAAACAGTTATAGCAACTTGACGTTGCTGCAACATCCAAGAACATGATCGTTTACAGAGCAGTTTTGTTTCAGTGTATTTCATAAAAATATTGGTCTTCAGTGGATTGGAATTAAAACAATAGCATCAACACCACAGATAGCATAAGAACCCACTGTCCAGAAAGAGAACTTTGTAAGACGGTAGCACAGTGAGATGTGGGAAATCCTCTTTCTGCTGAGGGAACAGCTTCCCGGATGGATTCAGGCTGCTCTGAAGAGCTTTGGGTGATGATGGAACCAGATGTGAAGTTGCATTTGTGACAAAAATTAAAAACATGAAGTGTGCTGGTTAGATTTGCATCTCACTTAACCATGAGCATCTTGTATAGAATTGTTTTATAAACAGAACCAGCATCTGCTATGATCTCCAGCATCTGTTTTTGGTAAAGGCCCATCTTTACCTTGCTTTGTGCAAACAAGCGGAGGCCAAGCAGAGGAACTCTGCATGCCCCAGAGGAGATTTACATTTCATTCCTGTGAATGACTGTCATTAGGGGAGAAAGGCCCAAGCAGTGCAGTGTGGAGTAGGGGGCAGTGGTTAAAGCGGGGCTCAGGCTACATGTCCAGCATTTCAACATGGCTCCTTCACTCAATAACTGTGTGGACCTCAGTTTCCCCATCTGTAAAATGAGTGTCATGATATATTTGACTCAAAGGGTTGTGTTGAAGATGATGTGAATGACTATATTAGACTGCTTAGAGTAGCACCTGGAACATAATAATTGATGAGTAAATGATGGCTATTATTATAAACCACAGCAACTACGTCCTGGCAAGCTAAACGTATCCTCCAAACTGGCTCCACTGCTTTTCAGTATTTCAACAGCATCTGTTGATGCTGATGAAATATGATTGGTTCCAAGGGCATGAGAAAGGACCTTATTTAAGCACCAGCAACATGGGTGGTTTGCTAAATAAACCACTTAGAATGAAAGCCCAGGCTCTGTGGTCCAGAGGAGTTCTATTTAAAAGAAATACCCTGAAGGAAGCTACATTGATGGGCTAATAATACAAGTCAGGGCAACCACAATTCTTCCTTTACATGTTACTTAATGCCAGGGTTATCTTACTCATTCTAGAATGAAGCAAAGCTCCTGTTTAAAAAATCTCCCTCCCAGGACCGCATCAGTGCAACCCTGTATATTTCAATATCCCTTTCCTATGAGGAATAAAAATCATATTAATCCAATAGAAAATTGTCTTAATTCAGACTTCCTTTTTTCATATATATAAAAACCATTGTTTTTAGAGCTGAGCAATATCCTAGCAACAGCTGCTTCTAGGTTCAACTGGAGGCTTTCTAGGGCTTATTCCATGATTTATAGGTTCCTTCTGTCATCCAGAAGTAGACAGCGCAGCCCTTTGCCTGCTGGCATTTGCACCGAAAAGCATCTCCAGCTGTCCGGGTCTTGTGACTGCCTTAAATGTGTTTGGGTCAGTTCTTACACCCCAGCATTTTTCCAGCCGTGATTAAGTTCCTTAAACGGCCCAAGATGTGTCAGCATCTCACTGCTGGAGTGCAGGCAGGAAGGTTTGTGGTTTTTGCATTGAGAACATGTGGCTTTTCTGGTCCACGTACTCTTCTGGGGATGCCAGAATTTGCACTGCTGAGCCCCATGGCGCTGTGCAGCGATGCTTGTGTGGGGTCGACCCCATGGCTGCCTTTCATTTCTTGTAGCCTTTGGGACAGAGTGATGGGGATTTCAGAATGAGGAAAACAACTTCTTTTAGGAGTGAAAAAGCTGCAACAGTTTTTAGTGTTACCGGTCAATGTGTTTTGATCCGGAAAACTTGGATCGAATGCTTGGTTCTGTTGTTCTTGGCCAGCACCCATTCTTTTCCAAAACACTGACACTAGGTTATCTCTGAAAGGGTAAAGAATAGAAGGCTGAATTTTCAAGAGGATACTTAAGTAGAATCAGACAGGATAAGCAGGCTGGGTTCTAGAATGAACCCTCTGAAGCTATGAACACTTGCTTTCCAAATAGATGATGACTGTCTGTTCCGGATACTTTACAAATGCTGAAAGGGTGTTGAGAGAAGACCATTCCTCAGGGCAAAAGGGCTTCCCATTTAAACCTTCTGCATTAGTGATTATAAACTACGGGTTACTGGGAGGGAGATTTCAGAGAGAAATGCTTTGCATGGATGCTTTTTATCTCCTCATTCTCCAAACACATCTCGCTTCTGATAATTTGAAAATGCCTATGGTCCTGCTCCATTAGACCAGTGGGAACAGAGGTCTCACTAAGACCACACCCTTTGTTTTTCTGTGCAGGTCATGGTGCCTGGAAGCCAGAACAACCTCCTTCTGAAGCCTCTGCTTTCCGACACCGAGTACAAGGTCACGGTGACTCCCATCTACGATGACGGAGAAGGCGTCAGCGTCTCTGCCCCTGGAAAGACCTGTGAGTGAAGCTTTCTCTCTGTGGATACTGGCTGACTAATTCATAAAAATGCTCCTACCCTGTAATTCACCCCAAATAGCAGAAAATACTGTGGTGAAAAGAGCAAAAGAGATTTGGAGACAGACAATCTGGGTTTGAATTCTGTCTTCACACATTCAAGCTGTGTGACTTTGGGCAAGTTGCTTCACTTCTCTGGGCTTCAGTTTTCTTGTCTGTAAAAGCTAAGACTTAAAAACAACTGCATCTTACTCCTTCAGCATCAAATTCATCACAAGCTCTGTGGATTGTCCAATATGCATTCTAGGTGCCTGTCCGCTCGCTTTGTCTTCCTCTAACTGCTCCCCCTAACCCAAGCCCCAGTCTCTCTCACTGAAATGAGCACCTCAGAGCCTAGGAATCTTTCTGCTTCTCTGTTTGGATCCTTTGTTCTCCTCACAACAGCCCGAGGGGCTTTTCAAAATAGAAAGGATCTCTCCTGCCTCTGTTTGGAGCCTCCTAATGGCTTTCCATTGTTCTCAGATTAAAATCGCACTTTCTTCCGGAGGCTGCCAGGCCCTGTGTGTCTTCCACCCTGGTGACCCCTTTCGCCTCACCTCCTGACAGCTGCCCCAGGCATACCTCCTTTCTGCTCTTCATTGGACATTTGAAGATTGTTCCTGCCATAGGGCTTATAAGCTAACTATTCCTTCCATGTGGAATCCCCTTCCCCAGATGTTTGCATTTCCGACTGTTCCTTGCTATTTTGATGTCATCTGAATGTCATCTCCTCCAACTTTTCTGACCATCCACGCGAAGTAGCTCCCACTTGCTAGGATGTCATCCCACTGAGTTTGGTTTCGTTTTGCTCATGTCACGGCACGATCTGCTGTCTGATGTTTTCTTGTTTACTCCTGTATTTGTTCAGTGTCTGTCTCCCATGCCCGGAGGGAGCGTCATGGGAGCCCAGGACCTCATCTGTTCCCCTCTGCATGCCAAACTCCTGCAGTGCAGAGCGGTCCTCACGAAGCTCTTGTTTTAGGTGAACTGGCCGTGGTGATCAAGTGAGACGCTTGCATGAAAACCCGTGGTCAAAGCACTGCAAAGTCTCAGTTGTCTTCATTTCTGTGTCCTGGTCTGTACTTGCGTGAAGACTGCCCCAGAACCTAGTGGCCTCAAATAGCAACCGTTTTATTATATTGTGTGACTTTGTGGGTCAGGAAATTAGACAAGGCTTGCTGGGAAATCCTTCCATTTCACATAGTATTGATTATGGCCACCTGGTAGCTGGGTTGGTGTGGAGTGTTCAGGACAAGTTCACCCACATGCCTGGCATCTCGATGCGGATGCCTGGAAGTCTGGACTCAGCGGAGTCCCTCTGTCTCCATGTAGTCTGAGAGCTTCTCCATGCGGTGTATCCAGCATGATAGTCATAGTTCTTAGATGGTGATTCAGGACTATAAGAGCAAGGGTTCTGAGAGGCAGAAAGTGGGAACTACCAGAACAGTTACGGTCTATGCCTGGAACTAGTACAGTGTCACTTCTGCTGTAGTCTATAGGTCAAGGTGGTCATAGAATCCACCCAGATTCAAAGAGAGGGTTATAGCCTCCACCATCTAATGGGAGGAAAATCAGAAAAATTGCACCCATCTTGAATCTATCACAGTTACCCAGTGGTTAAGCATGACTGGTGCAGAATGGTGGCAAGGCCTGAATTCTGTACCTGGGCATCTAAGTATGGAGTTTTCAAGTAAGTGTGCAAGTCATTAAAATTCTGTAGCTGCAGCCCAAAGTCCTGACTCTGCTCTGCTGAGCAAATGGGTGTTACCTCCTTATTTGACAGCGCTGGCACCTCTATGAGTTCTTCCACCCAGACCCCCACCAAGCCTGCACATTTTGCTAAAGATCACCTAGGGTATTGTGAATTCTAAGAGTTGCTACAGTTACCTCTTCAGGGGCTATGTGGAAGGAGAGAAGGCAGGGGAAGGGCAGAGCAGTGGGAGAGCTCCAAGCTCTTCTTCCACTTCACCTGTACATGGGCTTCTTGACTTGATGTTGGCTTTGATCACACACTGGAATTTCTAGCATATTTTGGTATTTTGCTGCGAAATCAATGTTTGGAAACCACAGGCTTAAACAGTAATTAAGGAAGAAAATTGAATAGTATTCACCTAACATTTATGGAGCACCTACTATGTGATTGATTGATTGATTATATTTTTATTGATTTCAGAGAAAGGAAGGGAGAGGGAGGGAGAGATAGAAACATCAATGATGAGAGAGTCATTAATCGGCTGCCTCCTGCACGCACCCTGCTGGAGATTGAGCCTGCAACCCAGGCATGTGCCCTGACTGGGAATTGAACTGCGATCTCCTGGATCATAGGTCAATGCTCAAATGCTAAGCAACACTGGCTGGGCCCTACTATGTGTTTTAAATACATCACCCTTGTCTGTCTTATATCCACGTTGTTAAAAAATGCATGTAAGGATTATTTTAAAATAAGCTTAGTAAATTCTGCTGTTCTGAGATGGTTTTGAACTGTGTTATTTAGCACTCTAATGTTTCATAAAGTAACCATAAACCCCTTCACTGAGGGGAGACAGGGGGGGAGGAAGGATATGGGAAGGCAAAGGGTTTCCCTCTAACTGCCAACGACCTGGGTTCAAAGATCTATTTTTAGCTTTCATATGTTAAAAATTAGCATAATTTGCAAAAGGGTTTTATGTTAAACACATATATATACTCATATAAATAAAAACTATTTAAAGACTATTGCTATAGAAATACGACTTAAATCTCATTAAAGAAATACCATCACATATAGCAATAGCTACATAGTACAATTATTTCAAAGTGTTAGTGCCTGGCCCACTTATTTTAAGCAGTGATCAACACAACTAAATTCCATCAACAACAAAATCATAAGGCTATTACCCATCAGTATGCACAACAGTTTATAAAGGCCCTCCACATAAATGGCTTTCATGGTTTGATAAAAAGTTGATAAACAATAAGGTAAAATGTTAAACAATATAGGCAATACAAAGATGAAAGCAAAAAAAAAATCATCAGAATCTTACCTCCGAGAACTACTTCATTACTATTGTGTGATCACCCTTGATATTGCTAAACAAACATATTTTGCTAGTGGAACAGGGTGGCGTGTATACAGAAATGTTAATAAACACTACTTAGTTGAGTTTTACTTAAAATTAATTGAAGAAACCAAAATGACATTGAATGTGCTGCTGATCTTCAGATAAAAGCATTTCACCACAAGCACAATTATTTTCTGTATATTTAATACTTAAAACAGCCCTGGACTCTCAGAGGTTCCTCCCCATGTGTTTGCATTTTCACCTGTAAATATTTTTAACACTGTGGGAAGATATCTCAGGTTTTGTTAACAACGCTGTAGGTTGTAAAGATGGAAACCTCACTCAACCCTGTTTTTCCCTTTCTTTCCTGCTCAGTGCCACCATCTGGTCCCCAAAACTTACGGGTCTCAGAAGAATGGTACAACAGGTTGCGTATTACATGGGATCCCCCATCTTCCCCTGTAAAGGGCTATAGGATCGTCTATAAACCTGTTAGTGGTAAGTATGCTTTTAAAAAAATAGTGCAATTAGGCATCTCAAATGTCTTTTAAGATAAGCTATTTTTGTTTTGACTTTCTATCTTTGGCTTTATCTTTGGTTTTAAGAGGGTGGAAGAGTCTCCTACCATTTTTTGAGGATAAAACATCATTTCTAGGATGGCTTGTTAGAGCAGATATCATCAGAATGATGAAGTTATTACCGTACCTGAGAAATGACTGGGTGTCTGAGCAGGGGCAATTGAGGACGACTTCTTCAGTTTGGCAAGTGTCCCAGAGCCTATGGCCGCATCATAGCTCCACTGTCAAGGCCTCACAATACGGAGGATGGTGGACTGAGGTGGGCCAGCTTCTTTGAGTGAGCCCTAAGGAAAGAATTGTACTTGAGGAAAGGACGAGATCCCTGGAAAAAGCCCTAGCGTGGCAGTCAAGGGTGCACATCTTCGAGGTCCATGGAGCTAGATTCAAACCCCAGCCCTGCTGTATAACCTGGGCAACCGGAAAAGAGTTGAATTCAAGTACAGTTCACTTCAGGGGTGTTTCCACTTTTTTCATATTCTGTTATAACGGCAATATACTCTCTCTCCTTTTAGTTGCTGGCCCAACCCTAGAAACTTTTGTGGGAGCTAACATTAACACCATTCTTATCACAAACCTCCTCAGTGGAATGGACTACAATGTGAAGATATTTGCCTCCCAGGCCTCTGGCTTCAGCGATGCCCTGACAGGCGTGGTGAAAACACGTAAGACCGATGTCCCCGTTGCCTCAGCCCCCACATGTGGTTTTGCTGCTCTGTTTTTACTGTAACTCAACTCCTCCTTCAACTTGGCGGTTGGTTTTTGTTTTTTTCTCCTCAGTGTTGCCCTGTCTGGATGGTGGTTCATGGAAAGAAAGGTGTGTTCCTAACTGGGGGCTGTAGTTCAGAGTCCTGGTTGGCAGGCGCAATGTCAGAGCCTGGCGTCCAACTGTCCTTGATGGTGGCGGATAGGGTTTCCTTCTGGAAAGTCTCTGTTGGCATTTTTCGAGTTAGGTGAAATTTTCCAACTAGCGTGTAGCCTCATGCAGCCGTGCCAGTCAAAGTTGGGCCTTTTCTCAGAACGTTCACCCCTCCCCCCTTACACACACACACACACACACACACGCATGCCATGCTGAAATGACATATGCACCAGTCTAAGGACTTTCTTCTCTACCCTTTAAGGTTTTTCGTGCTATCTGCACGCCATCTGGTACTTCTCATTGGCATCTGCGACTCCCAGACACCCGTGGCATAATGCAGTGTTTCCAAACTCCAGCGTGCTTGGTTTACGTCCACACCATCTGCCTAATATATTTCTTTAAGTCGACTTACAGTTTTGTTGGTTTTTTTTACTTAAATACTTTCCAAAACCCACATAATCACCCTAAACAGAAGACTGGTATTTTGAATACACATGAATGATAATACAGAAAAGCCCCAAATAAAAATGGTTTGGCTGCATGTTAATGAAATTCATCCTGAGTGCATGCCCCACCCTTGAGAGTGATAGTCATGGTGCAATCAAAAGTAAGAGCCTTAAATCTGCTACTTGTTAGCTACGGCCTTGAGCAAATTACTTAGCTTGTCCTAACCCAAGTTTTCTCCACGCTAAAGTGAAGGTCATCATAGCCGTATACAGGCTGATTGTGAGGATTAAACAGATAATATATGAAACGTGTCCACGATGTGGCAAGTGCTCAGTTAACGAGTATTACTATTGAAGTAATTGTGCTTTATGCACTTGGCGCCTAGCTCACGCCCATCTCTAATCCATTAAACTGATGAATGGTGCTGTGCAAGAATGGGATACCTATTTTACCAGACCCCAAGCCACCTATATTTGGCCACCCATCTTTTACCTAGAGACAGCTCTTTCATGGAGTATCTTCAAATCTTATAGGCTAATACAGAATCAATTTAACCTCAAAAGAAATAGTCTCTGTCTCCAACAGATCCAGGAAGCCTTTGGACTGTGGTCCTGACCTTGTAGTTGGCTGTGCAAGCACTATTTTTCTGGACACTACCTTAACTTCCAAGTAATTTCCTGTTGTGCTAGTAGAGCAACCCCGCAGCCTTCCTTAGAAGTGCCTTAGTATTCCCTGTGCATTCTCCCACCTCCACCTCCTCTCTCCTCCTCCAGTTTATCTCCATTTCCTTCCTAAGTTACCCTTTCCGTCTGTGCCATTTTCCTGCCTCTGTGATTCTCTTATCTATCTCTCTTCTCCTTAATCTTTTTTGTTTCTTTCTATCCACCTTTGTTCCATTCCTCTTCTCCCCTTTAATAAATACACTGAGTATTCCAAGTAGATGCTAAAAGAGTGAGAGTACTGAATTATTTTATATTGTGTCCTCAAAGTGAAAAATTAGATCAGCTCCTTATGTGTTTTCTCCCTTTCTCTGAAGCAAAATAAAACTCCATACAGTGGCAACTAAGTTAATTTCAGTTGTTTTTTAAATTTAGTGTGGTTTTGTGGGTCACGATTGATTTCGTGGGGTTAGAGGAGGCGTTTAATGGGGTCGTAGGAAGATAGGTCTTCCTTCTCTGATAAAAAGGAATGCTGTAAAGATGTCAGTTGTGATTAGACAAGATTATTTTTACCATCTTGAAAAATATTTTTGAGCTTTTAAAAAATTTTTATGAGGTAGCTAAGAGAAAGGAAGAAATAAGAAAACTTGAGACCAATGGGAATCAGAGGTCATTGGAGGAAGCAAATATCGTTAATGTTTGGCTTTTCCTTCTTGGGTTAAATGATAAACATCATACGCTCACTCCTTTATTGTCTTGGAGAAACAATATTTTTACTGCTACCCAAGTTAACTTTTTGCTGAATCATTTTTGAATACCAGTGTCCCAAGATTAACAGGAATCTATGTCCTGGGTTTTTAATTTTTTTTAATATATATTTTTTATTGATCTCAGAGAGAGGAAGAGAGAGGGAGAGGGAGAGAGAGATAGAAACATCAATGGTGAGAGAGTCATTGATCGCCTGCCTCCTGCACGCCCCCGACTGGGGATCGAGCCCGCAATCCAAGCCTGTGCCCGACCGGGAATTGAACCGCGATCTCCTGGATCCTAGGTCAACGCTCAGCCGCTGAACCACACTGGCCGGGCTGTCCTGGGGTTTTTTAAAAATAATTTCTTGTTATCTGTGTTAAACCTTTCATTTTAAAATTTTCAAAAATGTGTTCACCCTCCCTCGGCGGTGTTTTGAAGGCCAGTCCTTGGGAGACTGCTCTCCTTTGAGTAAGACTTTCATTCTGTGCGCTTTGCTCTTTCCTTTTGTTTAAACCATCGCTGTCTTTCACTGGTTGATAAGTACACATTGTATTTCACTTTTACTATACAGGTTTTATATATTAACTTTTGAATAGTTAGAAAACACAAATAAATAAGGAGGGAAGATTAAACGTCTCCCATAATTTCACCATCCATTGCATCTGGTCTTTTTCCTCTGAATATATATTTCCTTTCTTGTTTACAAATATGGCAGACTAAAAAATACATAATGTTTTGCAACTGCCTTTTCATGTCATAAAATAGTTCTTTTTTGTGTGCAAGAATTTATTGTGAGTTGATAGGTTTCTTCCCACCTCTCGCTGAGGCACGCTGAATTAGAATTTTATTGTGGTAAAGTTAATTTCAGACTTGGAGACTTTCGTGGCATTGTCTGCAATGTGACGCAGCTACGTTTCTATTTCCTTCCAGTGTTTCTGGGTGTGACCAATCTTCAAGCAGACCAGATTCAAATGACCAGCTTGTGTGCTCAGTGGCAGGTGCAGCGTCATGCCACTGCCTACAGGATAGTTATAGAATCCGTCCAGGGTAAGTGGAATTCATCACGTCTGTTTTGGTCAAGGATTGAGTACCTAGTCTGTGCAAGCCACTATGGACAACATGCACATAACATTAGTCCAGAACCCTCTCGCCGAGGAGGCAGTATTGTGTTATGGATCATGCTGGATATGGAGTCAACGTGGCTGGTTAAGCCAATCATTGAACCTCTCCAACCTCCACTTTCTCTCTGTGAATAGGTGGAACCATAGTGCAGATCTGGTGGCATCCTGTGAGGATTAAGCTGAGATAAATCTGTGTAAAGAACTTGCAACAGTGCTTTGCACACATTTAGTACATGAGAAATGGTAGCTGCTGTTGGTAGTAGGAACCGAATAGCCGGGGTTAACATACATTAAAATTAGATGGCACTATTATTTCGGCACCCAGTGGGGCTCTGAGTTTGACTTGAATGTTTTTCTTAGTGATTCTTTTTACTTTGGGAGGTAATTGGTGAGCAGCAAACTCTCATTCAGGAAATGGTATACTGTATCTGTGCCATTCAGGGCAGCATTACAGTTCCCAAGTTCATCTACAATTTGGGACTTTGTTTTGAAGTTGAAAGACTAAAAATGTCTGCTTATTTTCATTAAAATGTCAAGAACAACAACAAAAGGCTGATTCCCAAAAAGTGAGTTTCTAGGGACCGTTAATTCCCTTTCCACATTATTAGCATGGATAATATTCAGAAGATGAGATCAAATAATGAAAGTTACTTTAATCAGATTTGTATTATCAGTAGAAAAGATTTGTCTTGTTATGCTGGGGGGACGATAGAAGACACTAGAGAATCCCCAGTGATTTTTTTAAATCTTTTAAGCTAATAAAACTGCTAATTTATGTTTTCTTTCTGGACAAATGATCATGGTTTCTCATTTGAAAGAAGCAGAAGGAGCTAATTTTGAGGGTCTGGATAAGAATGGGGTTAGTAGCCTATATCCCTGGCTATACCTACATCCACAATGTAGAAATCCCACTTTCGATCCAATCCTGAAAGTGGAAAGCACAGTTTGTGAGCACAGAGTGCTGCCAGCATTTGGAAATATGCTGAGAATGTGAGAATAGAGTAAGAGCACCATGAGAAGCCCTTCGTTCCTGTGTGTGATCCTGTAGGAATTCCTTCAGCCTGACACCAGCTAAGCATAAGGGAGTGGCTTTAATCCAGAATGAACACTGAGTAAGGGAAAGTCAGGACAAATCACGGAGGTTTTGTGGCAATTGTATTTAACATGATTAATGGGATGCTTAAGCAGGAGTAGATGAAAGATATGCAACTATTCATGAAGCAACTATAAAATCTTGAGTTATGTATCATATATCTTTAAGCAACTAGCTAATTCACACTTTAATAGGGGAGGGTTGATGTTCAGTGGTATTTGTTAAGCTTTAAAAAATACTAAACATAAAAATCACACTCCCAAATTACCCCATCATGCCTTTATCTTTTTATAAATTTAAGAGGTTGACATGAAGAGACATAGGCTCCTGTGGATATGTTTATTGTCTTCCATAAAAATTATAATTATGTAGATTGATATAAAATTGTATGAAAACTGACTTATCAGTGGAATTAGTGAAATCCATAAGTATTTTAGCTAAATGCTTTTAGTTTAGCATATTTGCAAACTATCATTAGGATTCTTATCAGAGGATATGATTGGTGTATCTGGGAACACTGATCTGGTAATCCAAAACCTCAGTAAGCTCTTTCCAAAACCAAGATCTTTACTGGCAAAAAAATCATGAGTCCACATTTCCATCTTATCTTGAAGTTAAATTAACTTGTACTCCTTCAGTGTAATTTTCAGGCTGCCAGAAACCTCTTTAACAGAGACTCAATAGACTCATTTAAACACGAATGAACAAAAGTATTTATTTTTCATCAACATTTATAGCTGAGAGATTTATGGGCTCAATTAGCCTACAGCTCATTTACCCAGTTGTCTAACTGAATAGTATTAACCTACTGGACATCAATAGACTCTAACTGACAGCCTCTAAAAGAGTATTGGGGGCGAGGAGTGAATGTGGAAGATAGCAGTGAAGAATATGTTTAAATATTTTAACTTATACAGTTTAGGCGAAGGAATAGTCTTTCTACTTTGGAGTGGGGGACAAATTAGGTTGTCTGTTTCTTTTTACCTTTTACCTCCACCCATTTCTCCCACCTGCCACCTCCTGCCTCTGGCAGCCACTGATCTCTTCTCTGTGTGAGCTTAGTTTAGGGTGAGTTTCTTTATCTCAGAGAGAAATGTGATCACCATCATCCCAACCACTGCATCGAAGGACTTGTGGTCAGATGCCCATTCTTCCACGGGCTGATGAGTCCCGGAGCCCCTTCTGTTTTAATTCTGCAGTAGCTCCCATTGGCTACATTGATTGCTTTTGCAGAAACTTTAGTATTTGCACCCCAAATACTAAAGAGAAATGGAACTTAATTCCTCCATGTGGTGGAGAAACTTAATCCCAGGCTGACCTATTTCTAAATGCCTCTGGCAAATTCCTAGGTAATTTTGACAGGTAATTTTTTCCAGGATTTTCCTTCC